TCTGTATGTATATTTAGTCTTGACCTCTGATTTCATTGGTGTAGAGAAAACTCCTTCCAGTGCAGATCAGCAAGAGTTCCGCCATTTATTGGCTTAGAAAGTTGTCTGGGGGCACTGAGAATTTCGACATCCCAAGTATGTATGTTAGAGGTTTACTTGCCTCCATACCCCCATTCTGTCTCTGTATGTATATATACAGAGAGGGACTAGATTTGTTATTTCATGGACATGGGGAATTTCCTGGTGAGGAAACCCTGCCCATGCAGGTCAGTACCTTCTCTGTAAGTAGAGTCTTAGAGTAGCCTAGAGTACGAAGAGGTTAAGTGATTTGCTCTAGAATCATATAGCCTGTGTGGGTCAGAGGCTTCCTGGCTTTAAATCTGGCTTTCTATACCACTCCTCCATGCTGGCTTAGTCCTTCTCTATCTCACTTTCCTGCCTAGAGGGCCTTTTAAGTTCTGAGGAAGAAAGGTGGTATATTGAACATGAAGAGTTTATCAGTCTGGTAATTCTGTCTCAGTCCTTGATAGATAGACTTCCCATCCTCAACTTTAATTTGATTCATTTCAACAAAATAATTATTAAATACTTACAATACTTAAAGCACTTTTGCCTGGTGGTGGGGATGCAAGATAGAGAAAACTCAGAATAGATCCCAAGCATCTTACCATCTAATTGAGGATGTAATTCAGCTTACACAAGGACAAAAAATGACACAAAAAACAGGCATCTAAAGGAGAGTGAGATAAATGAAAAGGAGAGGTCAGTGTAAGAAGTGAAGAAATTTGAGGGAGGAGAAGTCACTTTCAGTTACAGAGGTCAAGGAAGTGAATGGAATGAATTGAACTTGAGTAGAACTTCCAAGCTAGAAAGGAACTTAGAGACAGGAAGGAAGAAGTCCTTTCTAGATATGGGCAATGAACCAGTAAATCAGTAAAACTTGGACTCAGTCAAAGGGCCACACTTGAGGACCTAGAGGGCCACATGTGGCCTCGAGGCCACAGGTTCCCCACCCCTGGAACCACTGCCTCCCAAAAGTTTCAAGTGGGAGAATCTGTTTTTATTTTTAAAAATTTTTGCAAACCTCCTCCCCAGTAATAGTGGATATATTACCATTGATTGAGAACTCCTATGAACTCAGTGGTGCTTTTAAATGTAATGATATTTTATTACAGCACCTGCTAATATTTGAAAAACAGGCACATATGTGTGTGTGTATATGACTCATAGTATTTATTCAGTCCACAGAAGGTATAGTTGCTTTTTTATTACCCTAAGATGTTGCTTCCCAGCTTTCAACAATTGAAAATGTGGTTGAAGTAAAGAACATTTCAATCCTAGATCTGGTCCTTTGTTATAGTTTTACCCTTTATATTTCAGATTCTTGGAAAAAAATAAAAAAGGTCATATTTCTTTGTAAATTTGTTTAAATTTGTGTTGAAATGTTTCATTAGGATACAAACCTTGCTCTCCATCAATCAATCAACGATCATTTAGTATGACTTAGTATGTGTCATTCGAGTTCAAGTTTGTTTTTTTTTTAAGCTGTGTTCAACTCTTCATAACCTCATTTGGGTTATTTTTGGCAGGTACTGGAGTGGTTTGCCATTTCCTTCTCTAGCTCATTTTACAGATGAGGAAACTGGGGTAAACAGGGTTAAGTGATTTGCCCAGGGCTACACAGCTAGTACATGTCTGAGGCAGGATTTGAAGTCAGGAAGATCTTCCTGACTCCAGGCCTGACAGTCCATCCACTACACCACCTGGCTGTCCCTAGTGTGCACCAGGCACTGTGCTAATTGATGAGAGCACAAAGAAAGGCAATAAGAGTGACTGCCTTCAAGGAGTTCACAATCTGATGGGGGTGACTGTGACTCTCCTGTCAATGTAAATAACTAGGTACATATAAGACACAGAGAATAGATCGGGAATGGGGAGGGGGGAAAGGGAGTGTTTATCTCAGAGACACTAGCAACTTGGGAGGCCAGGAAAAACCTCCTGAAGAAGCTAGAATCTGAGCTGAGAGGAAGGGGATTGTTGTTGTTTCTGTCATATATAAGGTGAAGCCCTGAGCAGGGCAGGGCATGCTATGGGAGGCTTGAGGAGAGACGAGGTTTGGAATAGCTGCTGTGGAAAATGGGCTACTTTATCAGTTAGGGAGGAGTAGAACAATTGCCTTACAGCACTGAGGCCCAGCTTGAGATTAGATTACATAAATTTGTAGTGGACCCAGTCCTCATGGTTTCATAATTTCTTCCAGTTCCTTTGGGTAGTACATGAACCAGATTGAAGGAGATAAACGGGAGGAGTGACCAGGATTAGCGTTTGGCAAAATATAGCAAGGGGCCTAATTGTCTAAGATACATAGCCAATTGCCAGAATCTGGGATAATGCAACTAAAGAAATCTTTTCCTCCCTCCCCTCCCTTCTTCTTCCCTCTCTCCCTCCCTCCCTCCCTCCCTCCTTCACCAGTATGTGGAACTTCTAGCGTGGAAACCACCACCATCCATGAAGATCAGCAATGATGAAAAGAACATTGACTCTGGAATCAAAGGACCTGGATTCTAATTCCATCCGTGATAATTATGTGAGATCTTGGGTAAGTCATTTAACCTCCATGGGGCCTCAGTTTCTTCATCTTTAAAATAAAGTGTTTGGACTGGAAAGCCTCTGGGTTCTCTTCTTGTTCTGGATCTATGAGGCTGCTGGATAGAGCTTTGGACCCAGAGTCAGGAAGACCTGAGTTCAAATCCAGTGACCCTGGGCATATCACTTAGCCTGTCTGCCCATTTCCTTATCTAAAATGGAGGTAATCAAAGGACCTGTTATGTCTCCTACCTCCCAGTATTATTTTGAGGAGCAAGTGAGGTGCTTAGCTACATAAATCCTAGCTAGTATTATTTCTAATTGAACATTCTTAGACATTGTCTAGGTCCACTAACAGGGGGTGAAGTAAATAGTGCACTGTGGCCTGGAGTCAGTAAGACCTGAATTCAAATTTGACCCTGGACACTTACTACCTGCGTTACTCTGGGCAAGTCACTTAACTTCTGTTTTCTTCAGTTTCCTCAAATGTAAAATGGGGATAATAACAGCATCTACTTTACAAGTTGCTGTGAAAATCAAATCAGTTAATATTTATAAAGTACCTCTATAAATACCGATTATCCCCCCCCCAATTATTTATCTGTGATCACAGTCTGTAGAAGCAAACAAAAAGACTGAACTTGGGTCTTTATGACCCCAATGCCAGCCCTCTTGTCCTCTATACCGTGTCAGCCTCATTTAATATTTATGTATCACCTTGCTAAAGGTGTAGGCATAGTAGAGGGCCAGAGGATAGGGAGAGAGGGTGGAAACAAAAGAAATATAAAACATAGTCCTGGCCTGGCAGGAGTGCCAAAATGAATAAAACAGACAGGCAGCAAACTTATCAGTCAATCCATCAACTAGCACTTATTAATTACCTACTAAGTGCCAGGAGCTATGCTAAGTTCTGGGCCTACAAAGACAAATGAGCCCAGTGTTGTAATCCTGAGCCATTCACTAAATGGAGGCTTTGGAAGATTGGAGTCCATAGGATCCCTTTTTTGTTGTTGTTGAGTCATTTTTCAGTCCTGTCTGACTTTTCATAACCCCATTTGCGGTTTTCTTGGCAAAGACACCGGAGTGGTTTGTCATTTCCTTCTTCTTTTTTTGGGGGGGGGGCAATTGGGGTTAAGTAACTTGCCCAGGGTCACACAGCTAGTAAGTGTCTGAGGCTGGATTTGAACTCAGGAAGATGAGTCTTCCTGACTCCAGGCCTGGCACTCCACCCACTGCTACCTAGCTGCCCCAAGAGACCCTTAGGACCAAGCATTTATATCTTCTCACTTCCCCTTTCTGAAAAAAAAGAAAAACCAAATCCTTGTTACAAATATGCATATTCAAGCAAAACAAATACTCTTGTTGGCCATGTCCAAAAATGTGTCACGTTGTGCATACCATCTACATATCCACCATAGCAGGTGGGTAGGAGGTAGGTAGCAAGCTTTATCAACGGTTCTAGGACCAATTGAATTCAAGTCATAACAGCAACCTAGTCACCCCAGCAGAGTGAATGGGATCTTTTGGCTCCTAGTGAGACCCTCCCACTCCCATATTTTCTTTGCATCAGCTTTCATCTTCTCCCATACCTTCAATTCCTTTGGCAATAATTTCCCCAGGGATTTGCAGTATTCCAAAAGAAAAGATGGGAGCTGCCCCTCCCCTCCTCCTGGGTCTGGCCTCCCATCCAAGTGCCAGCTCTTATTCCCTTTTCCCTTTTCCTCATCCAGAACTCCGTCTAGGATGGAGGTTTAAGCACATTTATTTCATGTCCCCCAAACCACGTGAGTCTCCTGGCTGAGACCAGCCTGGGTGCTGGCATACTTCCTCTGTGAATTTGGCCAAGTCACTTCAGTTTCCCTGTTTGTAAAATGAGCTGTTTGGCTGAGACGATTTCTCTGAAGTCCGTGGAAGCTCGGGGACGCCTAAGTGAGGAGTGAAGCACTCAGCTGTGGACTTTGAGGAAGCTAGGTGGCAACAGGAGGATCGGGGGCTGAACCTACAATTGAGGGGCGCAGGTGGGTCGGTGAGTTTGGCTGCAGGGCATTACTGAGAGCGTAGCCTGCTGGGTGCCCAGACAGCCCAAAGTGGGCAAGAGGCGGAGCCTCTGCGCATGTGCATTGGAAGTGCTTGAGTTTCACTTTGTAACTTTTAAGTAGTCTGGCAGCCTCTGGGCTGGACCAGGTGGAGCTCAACAACCTCTCTGTGCCGGGGCCAGAGTCACTGCTCCAGGTAAAGGGGGACAAGGATTGGGAGGCGCCGCCGCCGCTGCCCCTTCGCCTGCCTCCCTGGCTGCCTGTCTGTCCAGGGGTGCTGTGGGCTGAGCGGGGCTGGCAGGGGGCACCGTGCCCGAACCCTGCCACGTCAGGTGTCCGGTTCCGGGGCGGGCGTGGCACGTCCAGGCCTTCTGCTGTAGTCCTGCCGGGGTGTGGGTGGGTAGGTGGTATCCACAGCCCACGTATCTCAGCAACAAGAGAAGGGGACCAAGAGAGGCGCCTCTCTGGAGGAAGCGTGACTCTAACCTCGGGCAGCGCAGAGCTACTCCCTTCTCTTCCTCTGGGGTTCCTTACACCCTGCCCAGGACTCTCTTCCTAAACTGCTCTGCCTCCTTTTTCCGCCCTTAATCCTCTCCCTTCCCTCTTTTATCCTCCTTTTCCCTCACTAGTCCCTTTCAACCTCAGCGACTGTACCCCTTTCCTTCCCTGTCAGCTGGCGTCTGAAGTCTCCACTAGCCTATCCCGGAGCTGCTGCAATTGGCATTTCCTCCCTGCGCTTCTAGCCCTCCCTTTTAAGGTTAACCTCCATCTACTTTGTTTGTATGTTCTGGATATCTCTTTATTTACATTGCGCCCCTCCTCAATAAAAGGTAAGCGCCTTTGGGGCAGGGACTATTGGTTTTTTCCTTGGTATGCCTAGAATTCAGCTCTATGTCTGGTGAGCGCTTAATAACTGCTTTCTGATCGATTGAGTTTATCCACTCATGGGGAGACTTGGCAGGAAAGGTACTTAGGGACTGCTTATTGAGAGGCCTGAGCTCACCAGTGGAGCTCAATCTCACAGGCTTACACAGAATACATCCTCAAAAAGTCTATTAACTGCTTAAAACAGCACTAAGACTCTTGGGACACGCTGTATTTGGAAGCCCAAAGGAATAGAGGAAGAAGTTAACCTGAATTTGAACCACCTATTACCATTTTGGCTCCTTGGGTAGGGGGTGGACAGGACCTGAAAACTAGAGGTATGGGAGAGGGGAAGCAACAGGGCTAAGAAAGCTTTTGCAAAGAAAGAAAATTTACTGAGGTTTCAGAACCTAATGATAAGCCAAAGTTATCAGAGAGCTTAAGGTGACTTTGGTGATTTCAGTCTTAAGGAAGTGACTCCCTCCAAGGACAAGGTAGTAGTGGAGTGCCTACTGCAGACTTTCTGCTCCAAGTACCAACTAGGTATTAAGTAGCGGAGAGGTGGGGAGGAGGGTGTTGTGGGTGGAGGGTTGATTCAGGCCCCAGACTGCTGAATGAGGCTGTTCAAAGAGGATATCTACCCTTCCTTGGGGTGTGCGGAAGTGTGCTGGTGAGCACTAGAAGGTAGAGAAGGATTCCAAAAGGAGTATAGCCAGAGGGAATCATTTTTCCTCAGAAAGCATCCCATAAAAATGTCCTTCCCAGCACAGGAAATTCATTAGGCCCCTTAATAACGCCACATCTGCAGAAATTTCTCTGAGGGTGAGTGTGGGCAAGAACAGAGATCATGTCATCATTTCCCTTGGAAGTGCCATCACACACCCCAGTGTATTTAGTTTGGGGATGAACTTGGGCCAGCTGGCAATTCATATACCTGAGAATGGAAGAAAACACAAGCATGAACTGCTCCTATGGACATTGCTTGTGTGTTTCTCTAGCTCAAGGGAATGATTTTTTTAAAAACTGAGTGCTATAATTCCCCCCTCCTCCCTTACTAGCAGGCCACAAGTTTGAAGAGCACACAAGGTGTCCCAGCTTCAGTACAATTCAGTTGATGGTTGTTTAAGCAGGTGCCTTCAGAAGTCAGACTGTTTGCTCCATGAGGGGGTCTTCCGTGGAGAAGCTTTTGCAAAGAAGCAAAATCCACTGAGGTTTCAGTCCCTGATAATCTAAAGTTATCAGAGATCTCCAGTCACAGGACTTCAAGGGGGATGGCGCCCGGGCACGCTAGAGGAGACAGAGCTGCTTGGAGTTAACTGTTATCTTAAAACATCATCTTTAAATTTGGTGGGAACGCAGGAAAAAAAAATACTTTGTGTTTCTATAGTGCCTCTCTTTTGAGCTGCTTAGCCCTCTATAGCTTCTCTGGGAGGGAATAACAAGGGTTCCTGGTTTGATGTTATAGTTGAAGAAACTGAGACACAGGACTGGTAACTTACCAGGTCATACAGTGAGTCTGGCAGAACTGAAAAAGAAATGCAGGTCTCTTGACTCCCAATTCAGTGCCCTTTCCATCAATCCACCCTGTGTACTACTACCTTGTAATGTATCCATGCAGACCCCAGAAGGCACTGAAATGTGCAATTACCACTTTGGTACAGTCAAGGTCAGCGACTGGATTTGGCTGAGAATCCAAGGTTTTAGATTCAGATTTTGGGAGGACAGCAATACTTGGAAAGTACACTGAACTGGGTGTGCTTGAGGCAGCTGGGGTCTAGCACAATCATACCTTTGCCCAGCAGTGTGATCTGTGCCTCAGAGGTAATTTGTGCAGGAATATCATGGAGATCAAATGGAAAAACTGTCCTAGGTATTTAAAAAAGATAATTTCTAGGTAGAATAGGATGGTAGTATTTATAGCTTTAGACCCGAAAGGGACCTTAGAGGTCATTTAATCCAATGCCCTCGTTTTATAGCTAAGGAAACAGGTGGATATGAAGTGACTTGTCTAAGATGGCACAAATGGTAAGTAGCAGAGCTGGGATTTGAACTTGGGTTCCCTGATTCCAAATCTAATACTCCACTCTGTTGTGCTGCTTTATTATTTATAATTTTTGTATTGAACTATCTAGTGTGGTCTGATACATGTTCAGAATGTACTCTCAGAACACTCCTCGTTAGTAAGTGCCTGCCTGGCTGGCTTCCCCAGTGCCTTAGGCTCTTGTCCACCATGTCAAAGGAACTGCCCTTAGCATCGCACCTCAGTCACAGCCATCTGGTAGGTGAGGATTCACTGCTAAGTCCCTCTGGCCTGAGGTTTTCAATGCTCAATCAATCGATAAGCATTTATTAAATACTGCTTGGTATATGCCAAGCACTAAATTAGGTGCTGAGGATATGAATGAAGGAAAGAATGGGCATTTATTAAGTAACAAGTAGGGGCAGCAAGGTGGTACAGTGGACAGAGCACTGGGTTTGGAGTCAGGAAGACTCAGCTTCATGAGTTCAAATCCAACCTCAGGTACTTACCAGCTGTGTGACCCTGGGCAAGTCACTTCACCCTGTTTGCCTCAGTTCCTCACCTGTAAAATGAGCTGCCGAAGGAAATGGCAAATGCCATCCATAAGATGCTCTGAGTGGCTTCCTTTTGCTTCTGGGATCAAATACAAATTCCTATTTGGAATGTAAAGCCCTTTCAAGGCCGATTACACCTTATTCCCCCCAATAAACTCTGCACTCCAGTCAGACTGTCCTATTTGCTGTTCCCTGCACACAACTTTCCATCTCCCACCCTTCTGTCTTTGTATAGGCTGTCTCCTATTCTAGGAATACCCTCCCTCCTCATCCTCTTGGAACCCCTAATTCCCTTCAAGGCCCAGGCCAAGGGCTACCTCTTTCAGGAGGCCTTTCCTGACTCCCCTAATTTTCCTTACCTCTTCATTTTCTCCCCTGCCACCAATCATTTTATATTTATTTTACATATAACCTGTATTTACTTATATGTGAATACATAACATTCCCCCAACCTGGTAGAATGGAAGCTCCTTGAGGGAAAAGAGTTCTCATGTTTGTATTTGTATCCGTAGCACCAAACACAGTATCTGTCATACAGGTGCTTAATGAACGTTGGTAGATCAATTGAAAACCAGCTGAAAACCTTGCCTTTTGATGTAGAACAATGCTCGGTCTTAGGTCTCTGCTCTTTCTCCTCCTCTTGTCTCATCTTCATTTATTCTGCCATGGCTCTTTCTGATTCCTCATTCCCTCTGGAGCAGGGGGAGGAGGCCTTTGGGGACTAGAACACTGTTGACCTCAAGAGCCACCCCCTCAGCTACTATCTCTTCCTGGGGAAGAGGGAAAGTTGGTCAAAGCAGAAAGTCACTGGGAGAGACTTTCTCTCCACTTATCCCTCCACTTAAAGAGGGAGAAAGTAACAGAGGCATGAATCCAGAAACAAGCCAATTTTTAAAATATTTGTAGTTGGGTAGGTGCTAGGGGAAAAGAGCTGATGCGGGTGGGCTCTTAGGTAAAACCAAAGTCTACCAAATTCAAAGATGTTTGGGCAATTTTCAGGGAATGTGAAAAGAGCGGCAAGGAACTTATCTGACCTTTTGACATTCCTTCCTATTCCTCTTAGAGCAATCCATGAAGGCTGAATGACCTCCAAGACTCTGGTTTTTCAAGACCTGCAGGAAATGAGTTGTCACCCTGGTGGAGTCCAACTTTCAGCAGTGTGGGAGGTTCGGCTGTGGTGAGCCAGAGACAGGGAATGTTTGTCTCCTTTGCTCCCTTGGCAAACGCCAGAGAGGCCCCAGCCGAAGCCATTTTCATAGGCTCCTGATTCCAATCACCCAGTAAGTATAGGGATGAGGGGGAGGGACAGGCCATTAATCTTGCTGCATTGGAACTCCTTGGGAAGTCAGTTTGGGACCTACCCCAGGAGGTGATTGTGAAAGGAGATAGGGAGACTCAGCAGCCGTAGCCCCATCCACATGTATCATTCCAGGACCACAACCATTGTCCTTGCTAAGCTGCTTCTGCAGGCACTGTCATATCTTATATAAGAGGGGAAAGAAATCATTTCAGTTGGAGGTGTGTCCAGAATCATGTTGATGTCATCTTCTGTTAAGCTCATACATTAAGTCAGTTCACTAAGTATGGGAGTAAGTGCTTGGGCTTTTGCTTGAAATTGAGGAGCATGATCTCCACCTCATTCAGGCTGTGCTCCTGAAGAAAGGACTCTGGACTAGAGTTAGAAACTCTGCTACTTACTGCTCCTTGGGCAAGTCAGTTTGTATTTCTAAGCCTTAGCTTCCTTATCTGTAAAGTGAGGATAATAATGTACCTTGTCAGACAGGTGGTGCAGTAGATAGAGTGCTGGGTCTGGAGTCAAGAAGACTCATCATTCTGAGTTCACATCTGACCTCAGACACTAGATGTGTGACCCTGGGCAAATCACTTCACCCTTGTTTGCCTCAGTTTCCTCATCTGTAAAATGAGCTGGAGAAGGAAATGGCAAACCACTTCAGTACCTTTGCCGAGAAAACCCCAAATAGGGTCATGAAAAATCAGGATTGAAAATGACCAAATAACAAGAAGTACTTAATAAGGATTAGAATAGGGACTGGACCTGTGATTTCACTGGCATACGGAATTCCCTATGAGGAAACTCCTTCTACCAACGCAGGCTGCCATCTTTTTTGACCCTTAGAATACTGAGGTTAAATGAGTTACATAGCCAGTACGTGTCAGAGGTGGAACTTGAACCCAAGTCTTCCTGGCTTCAAGACTGGCTTTCTGTCCACCACGCCCTGCTGCTTCTTGGCATGTAAATAATAATCACAACAATAACAACACGATAATACCCATTTTTTTTTAGGCAATTTGGGTTAAGTGACTTGCCCAGAGTCACACAGCTAGTAAGTGTCAAGTGTTTTGTCTGAGGCCAGATTTGAATTCAGGTTCTCCTGACTTCAGGGCCAGTGCTCTATCCACTGTGCCACCTAGCTGCCCCAATAATAACCATTTTAATATAATATTTTAAGGCTTGCAAAGGATTATATATACATTATTTCACTTGGTCTCATATTTACCTTATACTTCCCCATGTACACACACACACACACACACACACCACACACACACACACGCATGCACGCACACATGCACATCCACCAGCCTTGTGGCTGTGAATCAGATGAGGCAACATATATTAAGTAGTTTGTAAGCTTAAATGTTAGCTCCTCTTAAAACCTTTGTTCCCTGCACAGTTGGAGTTCTCAGTTTAAATGGTCCAGATTTCTGAAATTAAAGTTTAAACAGTCATTTGAGGCTAGGGGCAATAGGAGAGGGGAGGTTGAGTATTTCTATGTCTAAGAACAATAGGGTGTGAGAAATTATTATTTTGGTATTATATTAACAACTAATTATTAAATTATTATTAAGTCTTGACAAGCCCTGTAGTTAGTCAGCTGGTCTCTGAAGGACATGATTATTTGACAGGGTTTTTCTAGGGTAAGACCCTACTTCTATTTAGAGTGTGAATAGAATCTACTCTAAGTGAATTTTTGTCCTTAAGAAATAAGCCCAAAGAAAGAACTATGGAGTTTGAATGCAGATCAAAACATACTATTTGCTATTTTTTTCCTTCTGTTGTGTTTTGTTTCCTCTTTCTGGTAGTTCCTCCTATTAGTTCTAATTCTTACTTACAACATCACTAATGTGAAAATATGTTTAATAGGAATGTATATGTATAGCCTATATCAGATTGTGTGCTGTCTTGGGGAGATAGGTAGGGAAGGAGGGGGAGAAAAATTTAAAACTCAAAACCTTGTGGAAGTGATTGTTGATAAATAAAAATAAATTTAATTTAAAAAAAAAAGAAAAGAAAAGAAATAAGCCCACATCCTTGCCCTCCTCCACTGGGGTGGCTTAGAAGATTCTTCTGTCCAGATTGCTGGAAGTGGCTGAGTCTTGTGATCAAACCATGTTCTCAGTAGGTGGAGCTGAAGATTTCTATCTCCTCATTTAAATGTCCACCAATCAGGGTTGATTTCTCCTGTCAGGGGCATTCTCTTTCTTTTGTAATAGTATTTTTTTTTCCAATTACATGTAAAGATAGTTTTCAACATTTACTTTTATGAGATTTTGAGTTTCAAACTTTTTTCTCCTTCTTTCCCTCCTTACCCCTTTCCCCAAGACAGCAAGCAATCTGATATAGGTTATACATGTATAATCATATTAAACATATTTTTACATTAGTCATATTGCAAAAGAAGAATCAGAATAAAAGGGGAAAACTACAAGAAAGAAAAAACAAAACAAAAAAAAAGGGTGAAAATAGTATGTTTCAATCTGCATTCATACTCCATAGTTCTTTCTCTGGATGTGGATAGCATTTTGCATCATAGGGGCATTCCCTTTCTTTCTTTCTCCCCCCCCCCCACTTTTGGTGAGGGAATCCAGGTTAAGTGACTAGCCCAGGGTCACACAGCTAGTAAGTGTTAAGTGTCTGAGGCTGGATTTGAACTCAAGTCCTCTTGACTCCAAGGCCAGAGCTCTATCCACTGTGCCACCTAGCTCTCCCTGGGGCATTCCCTTTCAGAAAAAATATTATTTCTTTTTTTTTGCCATTCACTGTCTCCATTAGGGGTCTTTGGTGACCTAGAGAAACCACTGACCATCAATTTACTGATTATTAGTTAGGCTAATTGATAAATTGATTATTAATTACCACAAACTGTCTTTAAGGTTTTTCATTTGTCACAGAGCAGCTGGAACCACAGGTGTAGCCACAATTTCCACACATGCATAAACAACACTCATAGTACCTCAGTGTAAACTTTAAGGTCATATAGAAATGTGAGCCATCATCATACAATGCACTATATAAAATTTTGTTCTGCAGACTTAAAAAAATGTATAGCTGCCTGGGCCTTCACTCTTATGAAGCATTGGGCACTGTCTTCTTTAATTTTGCAGAATCATCCAAGTATAAAGTCGGAAGGTACTTTAGCAGTCATCCAGTCTGACCCATACTTGAGAAGGAATCCCTACAGGATGATAAGATCATAGATTTAGAACTAGAAGAGACCTTAGAAGCCATGGAGTCTAAACTCTTCATTTTACAGAGGTGGAAACTGAGGCTCAGAGAAGCTACACAGGTAGTCAGTCCCTGAAACAGAGAGGTTACACAGGTAGTAAGTATCTGAGGTCTTCCTGATGCCAGGTCCTGGATTCTATCCACCATGTCACCTTGCTGTCTCCATACCCCTCACATAATCATTTGAAGACCTCCAATGAAGGGGGATCCATTATCTCTCAAAGCAGCCTATATTGCTTTGGACACCTCTAATTTTGGGAAATTTATCCTAGATCATCCCAAACTTGCCTCTTCCTATGTCATGGTTCTTGCCTTTCAGATCAGACTGACCAAGTCTAATCCCTCTTCCAGACTTTTCTTGAAGTCTTCCAATAAGGAGGATCCTACTACCTCCTGAGGCTGTCAGTCTGTTCCACTTTGGCAGAGTTCTAACTGTTAGGAAGTATTTCCCCCCTCTGACATCAAGCCTAAATTTCCCTCTTTGCATCTTCCAACCCCGTGGCTCTTGGTTCAGCCCTTTAGGGCCAAACTGGTCAAATCTGACCCTCTTCCATTTGATAGTCATTAAAAATTTGAAGATAACTATCATGTCCTCCCTTGAGTCTTTTTTTTGGGGGGGGGAGTGTAAAACATCTCGAGTTCCTTCAGTGAATCTGAATATGAAATAGACTTGAGGTTCTTTCACCATCCTAGTTCTGCTAGTGACTCTCTCCAGCTTATCAATGTCATTCTTAAACTCTGGTACCCAGAACTGAACACAGTACTCTAGGTGAAGTCTATCTGGGGAAGAGCACAGTGGCCCTATCACCCCTTTATTCCTAGAAGTTATGGCTCTCTTAGTGCAAGCCAAAATTACATTAGGGTTTTTGACTGCCATGCCATGCTGCTCCCTCATCGAGCTTGCAGGCCACTAAAACCCAAAGCTTTTTTCCAGACATACCAGTGTAACCACACCTCTCCCATTTTGTACTGATGAAGTCGAATTTTTGAACCCAGGTACAAGGCTTTACATATTTTGCCCTCTTAAATTTCATCTCAGCTTAACTGTTCATTGAAATAGGGGAGGGGGTTGGACTAAACAATTTTTAAGGTCATTTTAGAAGTTATCTAGATTATAGCTAGATTATAGCTCTGGGATTCTGTGTTTCTGGATTCTTTTTATCACATGTCTTCTGTGTCTCCTGTGTCATGTTGATAGATGTAGCTGGACAAGATTTTCCATTCTTCTGCTACTCATTTCTTTTCTTTACATTTTCCCTTCTTCTCTCTCTTTTCTTTCACCCTTGCTAATGGCACGCATAAACACTGTTTAGTCCTTCTGGTGGCCCTTAGGATTAGAGAGAATTTTCATCTTGGTCTAGAGAAGTTCTTAACTTTTCTTGTGTCATAGACCCCCTTTGACGGCTAGTTGGCACTGTGGGTAGATCACTGGGCCCAGCATCAGGAAGACCTGAATTCAAATCCAGCCTCAGACACTTGCTAGTTGTGTGAGCCTGGGGAAGTGACTTAATCTCTGTCTCCTTCAGTTTTCTCATCTGTAAAATAGAGATTAGAATAGCACTTCCCTCCCAAGGTTGTTGTAAACATACAATGAGATAATATTTGCAAATACTTAGCACAGTGCCTGGCACAGAGTAGGCACTTAATAAATGCTTATTCCCTTTTCTTCCCCTTTGGCATTATGGTAAAACCTATGGACTCCCTCTCAGAAAAATGTTTTTAAATGTGTAAAATAAATTACATAGGTTTGCAAAGTAAACCAATTATGTTAAAATCTAGTTACCAAAATATTCTTAGAAACAAGTTCATAGCCCTAGATTCCATGGTCTAGAGTCTCTTAAGACATTGGCAGCTTCTTCTACGTGTTTTCTCTTGGTCTGAGGTGTTACCCACCTCAGTTAATTTCCATTTGACAGACTGTGTTCAAGGGGACCTGTTTTTGAGACCCAGAGTAAGCCTGGCTGTCCCAACCCCTCTGACAATCTGGAATTGCTAAAACAATGGGACTATTCTCAAGTGATGCTGCTGGGCACATAGGAATTCTGAATCCCTTTCTCTCCAGCTGACTTCCTGCTTAGCCACCAATCCCTGTAAAGAAGTGTGCGTCCCCTACAGCAGCATAAGAGATACTGGTACCAGTGGTGTGGTCTTAACGGAGTGTCTGTTCTTTCATTGATCCTGCTGCTTTTTGTTCACCTCCTTCCTCCTCTTTTCCCCTCTGGCTTCTAGGAATGAAGGGAGGGACAAGTTTCCCACCCCTGGGCCTGTGGCATCCTGAGGTGGTCAGGAGCAGAGAGAGGCTGAGCACTGATCTCAAGCCCAACGATACGTATTGCTACAGCACCGTCAACAACACCAGTACTGTGCTCCAGGGAGTGACCTTTGGCGGAGTGCCTACTGTCCTGCTCATAGATGTCAGCTGCTTCTTGGTGAGGTGCTCCTATTTCCCTTTGATTTGGGGAGGGAACACTAGGTGGAGCAAATTAAGTTGAAGCCCTGCTTTTAAGGGTTTATAGGAGTAGGAAGAGGGAGACTGTTGGGGAAGGGGAGAGTTTATGCCTGAGCAGCCTGGACTGGAGCTGGGACTTCAAGAAGGTTGGCTTGGGGTTAACAGGGTGAGTTAGGTCCTAGAAGGAGAGAGAAACAGCTGAGGAGGGGGGGCCAGATGGTGGGCAGTTTTGAAGACAATGTGTGTGTGTGTGTGTGTGTGTGTGTGTGTGTATCTGTCTGTCTGTCTCTCTTTCCTCTTGTACTGGGAATATCAGAGTGCCCTGTAAGATAGTGGGCATAGGAAATTCCCAAACTGTAGCACATAAGCATTGCAAAAAAGCTGTGTGAACATAGTTTCTTATTTGAGTCTTTCCAGGAACACGCTGTATTGCTTATGGTATACTTCAGTCAACAAGCATGTGCCTTTAAGATCAGTCAGTCAGTCCCCAAGCCACAAGTATTAAGCTTCTACTATGTATCAGCTACCTTGATAAAAAGACAAAATCGAAAGCATCTCTTCTCTTAAGGAGTTTACATTCTCATGGGGGAAACACCATGTACACTTTTAAGTATCTACAAAATCAGTACAGGTGTAGCTTGGTCTGGAGGAACATATAAGGAATATATCTCCAAGAAGCTGAAAAACCTTCTCCCAGAGGGAGGTTGAGATAGCAAGAATAAATCAATTTCTATGAGAGAAAACCAAGGTTGTAGAGGTCGAACAGTAAGTCATAGGAGAGAATGATGAGCAGATGACCTCATTCGGTCTCTGTACTTTAGAGAAAGGAGGAGGAAGTACATTCCTGGCAAAGGGACAGCCTTGAGGAACACCAAGGAGGCCAGTTTGGATAGACCATAGAGTGCATGGAGGAGAGTAATATATAATTAACTTTTTTAAATATAGTTAACTTTTAAGAGTAAGGTGGAGCCAACATTGTGATGGGCTTTAAATGCCAAATAGAAGAATTTGCATTTACCCCTAGAAGTAATAAGGAACCACTGGAGATAACTGATCTGGGGAGTGACATGATCAGACCTCTGCCCAAGATATATCACTTTGGCAGCTGTTTGGAGGATGGATTGGAAATAAAATGAAGTTCATATTTGCTTATTGGCAAAAATTCCCAGTGACAGCTCAGACCCATTGGAATCAGGCCAGGCCCTGTTACTTCTCTCTAAGAAAACAAAACCTGAGTGATTAAAGAATATTGATCAGGGCTCAGTTAAGGGAAAATGACCAGGCTTTTTGCTGTTAATTCTAATACACACACACACACACACACACACGTTGTTCAGTTGTTCAGGTCCAATTCTTTGTGACCTCATTTGGGGTTTTCTTGGCAAAGATACTGGAGTCATTTGCCATTTCCTTCTCCTCATTTTACAGATAGGGAAACTGAGGCAAACAGGGTTAAGTGACTTGCCTGGGGCCACCCAGCTAGTAAGTGTCTGAGGCTAGATTTGAGCTCAGGTCTTCCTGACTCCAGGTCCAGTGTTCTAGCCACTGTGTCACCTTGCTGCCATATATGTATGTATGTATATGTGTACATGTGCCTATGTATACACATATATATACAATATAGATACATATAAATGTATGTATATGTCTATGTGTATATGTGTATCAGTGAGAGAACTTGGTCTCCAGCACTGCTACATAAATGTGATTTTGCTTCCTAGGGTCACTTTTTAATCTTTCTGCTTTGATGTTAGTAGAAGTTGGGCAGTGGGAATGTCGTAGTTAGATCATACTGAGGTCGGGGAAAGCAGTTTATGTTGAAGCCTCCATTACAAGAGGGTCTGTCCTCCTACTGGGATACACTTGAGTAGCATAGTAGAAATGACAGAATTTCTGTGCCCATGGAGAGGAATTACCATTGCTGGAGGTACGTAGGATGCTGAGCTATGTAGTTAGTAGACTTAGGGTGACATTGCACTCATCCCTGAGCAATCTCCAATTCTAACTAGAAAAAAAAATCTGTGACGCATCTGTTTGTCTTTCTCTTTACCTCCCCACCCCCACCCCCTGGCCCTTTTTTTGTTTCTTGCTCCTAGTTTTTAATAGTTGTGTTTTCCATAATTCGAAGAAGATTTTGGGACTATGGCCGCATCGCACTGGTGTCAGAAACAGACAGGTAAAAAAGATTCCTTGGTATGAGAGAAGATGAAACCTACCTCAGTGTAATGGAAGCAGAACTGTCCCTTGGGTACTACAAATTGGGCTGTCACCCAGACCCTTTACTTTTTGAGGGGGTGGGGGAGAGGGTAGGGTTGTGGTAGAGGAGGGGGCTTCTGGGCAGTGTCCAAAGGAGGCAGCTGTTCCAGCTGGCATGTCTACCAGATCAGGGATACTCATTCTATCCCCCACAAGGGTTGCTGTGAGGATCAAATGAGATAATTTATGTAAAGAGCTTTGCAAAGCATTAAGCCAATGTAAGTGTGAGTTATTATAATGCAAGCAACCTATAAAATGGTCACCAAGGCTAATCCGTTCCACCTTCTTCATTCTGCCTCCAAGCATCCTATTTTTGACTTTTTTTTAAAAACTTCATAGAGACCCTAGATCTTCATTTTAACTTGATTAACTTAATAAACATGTTGAGGGTGGTTCAGAGATGTGATTGGCTCTTGGCCCAGGAAGTGAATGTGGGCTTATAATATAATCCCTGTTCAGTCAGTGCTTCACCACTTAAAAGACCGTTTGTTCTTCCTGTTGGAAACACCCCTCCTCTGCCCTGTCCCTAGCTGCCCATCTCAGGAAAGTGCTTGGCCTCCTGACCAGGGTTCCTGGCACCCAAATGAAAATGTACAAAGGAAATAAAGTAGCTATAACTCCCGATATGTTTCAACATTGAGGAAAATGTGGAAAGATGAGGGGTTCTTTACTCAATCTGCTTATTTCAAGTGTAGCCCTTTTGAAGTTAACGAACTCCAAAAAAAGGGAGAGACTGATTAGTGCCAAAAAGTCCATCTGTGAATATTCAAGCTATAGCAGTCCTAAGCCCCATGGGCATAACGCAGCTTCTTGGCCATCCTTTGAGTTTATTGAAAAACAACATCTGTAGTGGAAGACATAAACTCTTTGTCCCCTTTAACATCATACCATGGTCTGAAGGCCCTTTGTATATTTTACATCAAAGGGAGAAAGGTGATGGCAAATTATAGATTTAAACAACTGGAACTTCCAGATCTGGCCAGATGTGATACATACCTGAGTATTGTATCTGCTGCTGACGTAGTGTGTTAGTGGGGAAAAGTGGATTCCTTTGTCCCTTGCCTGGGGCCCATAGGCAGTTTCCCCTGAGAATTCCTCCCTCCAGTGCCTTCTCTTCCCATGAGGCTAAGCTGGTGCAGAAATGTGGCCCCTGTGGGTGGAGGGACACCTGTGAATTTCCTAGCCCTGGGGAACGTGGGTTGTTAGTCAAAGTTATCTTTGCCCTGTATCAATTTTGTGAAAACTGCATGTGATGACCTTGAGAACAAAACCACAATACCATTTGCTTACGTTTTATTGAAGGAAGTCTTAGGCTGTTTGTTTTTTGAGAGTAGGGAGCAAAAAAGCAAGCCTCAATAAAAGTTTTTGCGAGGTCGTCTATTGGTGAGGACACTAACCATGGAATTAGATGACACAAGGTGGAGAAGGAATCCTGATTCCAACACTCTATGCCAATCAATTTGGACGAGTCACAACTTCTCAGATCTTTAATTTCCTTATTGCTGATTTATTGTCAGGAAAGTGCTTGTCAGCGAGTCCTAGGCCCACATTTTAGTGAATGTGGGAACTCCCTCCACAGAGACACACCACACAGCCCAGAATTTATAGTCTTAGAGACTTACCTTAGGGTCAGAGGATTAAAGGACTTGCCTAGCTTTAGAGACAGGCCTTGAACCCAAAACTTCCTCACCTCAGGTCCAGCACTTCTAGCTGCTACGCCAAGTGTTCTTAACATTTTTGTGTGTCATAGGTAAAGCCTATGACCCCTTTGGTAAAATCTTCTAATAATATCTTTAAGTGCATAAAATTTATTTTTATATACACACACACACACACGTACATATATGTGTGTATATACACATACACATATATATACATATGTATATAAAATTTCAAAGTAAATAAATTGTATTGATATACAGTTTCTAAATATTTTTGAAAATGACCAAATGTGTGATGTAGTTTAGACTTCCCTGAAATCTATCTATAGACTCTTTTTTGGGGGAGTGGGGTCTATAGATCCCAGGTTAAGAACTCCTGCTTTACACCAAATTGCAATATAATGATTTGTAATCTGTAAAGCAGGGGTGTCAGCTTGTGCCTGCAGAACTCCCAGAGTGGAGATTAAAATGTAACTGGGAAATGTTTAGTAAATAAAAATATCACAAAACATAGATAATGTTAATTTGTGGTTTTCTAAGTCAATATGCAGCCCCCAGGGATCCCTTTCAGAGAGGGTTTGGCACCAGTACTGTAAAGTACCTATACACAGATGGTTAAGTGTGCTGCCCCAGTCAAATTGTCCACCTAACAATGTTCCTGCAGAAAGTTGGGCCTGGGAAATTTAGATGGATGTTAAGGACAAATTCAGTCCACAATCTATGTGTGTGAACCCACAATCTACTAACAGCCCAGAGCCACATAGTTCTTCTCAGAGATTACAGGTTTTTAAAAATATTTTGTATTTTGAAACAGTTATGGTATCCTCAGGTAAGTTTTGCATTATTTGCATTAATTTTGTTCTGTTGATTAGAGGCCTATAGAAGGCAAAGAGTAACTTTAGACAATCTCACAGTACCTTTTACATTTCTATAGCTGGAAATTAGCAGCAGGGAAAAGTAGAAAGCTGAGTTTCCTTTCCATCTGAGTCAATAATTCTCCAAGTGGTGTTAGAGGAAACAAATGTAGTTGATTCTCCTCTAAGGGAATGGGGTAACCTAGGATGGGGAATGGAATCCCAGCCCGGAAAGGTGGGATAATTGTGGGCAGTGTGCCCCAGGTGTGATTACACAGGCTTACCTATCTTTCTCTCCTTGTATGTCCCAGAGAGTCCAGATATCAGAGGCTGTCTTCCTCTTCCTCAGGGCATCACGACTTTGAATCAGATCTGGTTAGTATTTTAAAGGACAGAGCAGTGTGGGCTGTGGGTTCTGAGAGTTCACTACAGAAATTCGGGAATAGGACTACTTCCAATCATTAGCTACTCCACAAGGGGGCAGGCAAGTGTAGGGGAAAGACTCCTGGATCCAGAGAGTTGGATTGAGTCCCTGACTCTTGTACTCAGAAATGTGTGATCTTGTGCTAATTGTTTAACCTATCTGAGAGTCGGCCTCCTTAGCCATAAAATTATGATACTTCTACTATCTACCTTGCAGGGTTGTTATGAAGAAAGAGCTTTGTAAGTGTCAAAATGCTACCTAAATATGAGCTGTTTTGTTGATATTAACGGTGATAACAGTAATAATTAGAACATCACTGATTTGGAGCTGGAAGGGACCCCAGAGGTCATCTAGTCAAACCCTCTCATTTTACAGAGAAGGAAACTGAGGTTCAGAGAGGTTGTGACTTCTCCCAAGTACAATGTGCCTGTGACAGCCGGCTCTGTAGACACAACAATGGAGAATACGTGAATACTATTTGGAAAGATGCGTTGTGGGTTAGCATAGGATTGGGATACTTAGAGAATTCATGAGAATGAGAGAGAGAGAAAAAGTAAGACAGAGGTCAGGAATCCTTTAACCCTCATGTCCAAGAGGCCCACTTGGTAGGCTGAAGAGGTAGTGTTGTAAGAGGGGAAGGAAATGAGAGGAAGAAGACCAAGAGAATAGACAGAAGGGAAAAAGGGAAGGAGAGGGAGAGGGGAGGGGAAATAAGATAGCAGAGGAAAGAAGAGGTGCCCATGCAGTGGGTGATCAGCAACTGGATTGCTGACCTACTTCTCAGCTAAGGGAGTATTAAACCCCAGGGACTTCTAAGTTTAAAATTAATTTTGATTGCTTCTAAAGTCTACAAACAAATGACAACTTTCTCCCCTTAGATTTCACTCTAAAAGTTTGCCCCCGAATTTCTATTTTCTACCCCCCAAGCTTCTGACTCAGGCACATCAATTGTTTTCCAAATGTTCTACTGACCGGCTCTGTGTTAATGTCTCCAAATCAGCTGTGAGATGTCATCATCTCTCGATTTAAGAGTTTGGACAAGGCCCTCTTGAGCTTTAAAAATATTTTTTCCCAAAATTATTGAGACTTGAAAGAAATGTTTTCTCCAGTGTTCCACACACATGGTGCATGGCTGTGATTTTTTTTTTTAACAAGGAGCATATGGAGACTGTCTTAAGGGGGACAAAGGGGCAGCTTGCAAAACTGGGGACAGATAAACTGCTTTCAGCATAATAGGAGATTAAATTGTTGTCTGATTTCAAAGATTATGAAAACAGCTGTCTCCTCAAAGCAACAGCTGTTTAGAAGCTAATCAAATCGTTCTTTATTTCCAGGGGTGTTGTTCATGGCTAACTGCTGTTTTCCGAATGCAGTAAGTATGTGATGGAGGGAGCTGTTACTTGGCTCCTTTGTTACATCTCATTTATTTGGGTGGTAGGAAGATTAGGGAGGAAAGAGCTGAGCTGCATTGGGGTGTAGAATGATCGCGTTTTTATAGGATGGGGTGTGCTTTTTTATTGCATCATAAGCATGATCTTGGGGTTAAAGCATAAGTTTCATCCCAGGAGCCCTTCTGGCTTGGAAATAGAAGTGCCCCAAATGAAGGGAACCTACAAAAACAGAGCATGAGTTACTGAAGCGTAGAGGGACCTTATGTGTGGGAATGTGAGGTGGTCACAAAGAGAGTTCAATTGAATACAGATTGTGAAACGACAGAGGAGGAAAGGCAGCTGTGGGTGGGGCTCCCCTTTTTTTCTCAGTTACCCAAAATGTAAATTCTGCCACTGGTTAGAGCCCATAGCTTTGTATGTTGTTTTCTTTCTAGACAGGATTGGGTATGTCATTGGCCTTTTTCTACTTGGACCAGGTCACTCTATGAAAACAGGGGAATAGAAATCTGTTTTCCCCCTCATTTCTAAGCTAGCTCCATGAAAAACTACCATTGATAAAAACTGCAACTAAGAGTTCTTTATTAGTTGCAAATCACCAACATTGAGTCTAGTTAAGCTACAAGGGGTTTGGTATTTTTCTGTTTTTCTCCTTCTACTCCTAGCAAAAGCTAATGGAAGCTGTGGGGCAAGAAGAATGTTTCTATTAAAATTGACGAAGGAAATAGTTCATTTTTTTCTATTATTCATTCCTTCATTCATCAAAATATTATAGAGCACTTACTGTGTGCAAGGCATAATAATAGTAAGAACTCTGGTTTAGAAGTAAAAACCACACAATTAGATGGGGAGAGCCCTATTTGAGGCCTGGTGCATAATACTGTTGATTCAACTCTTCAGGACCATGACATTTACTTCCATTCACCACTGTGGTGTGGTGGCTTTACAGCTTTGTTGTTAAGTCATTTCAGTCATGTCCAACTCTCTACAACCTCATTTGGGGTTTTCTTGGCAAAGATACTAGAGTGTTTTGCCATTTCCTTATCCAGCTCATTTTACAGATGAGGAAACTGAGGCAAATAAGATAAAGTGACTTGCTCAGGGTCACATAGCTAGTGAATGCCTGAGGTCAGTTTTGAACTTGGGAACATGAGTGTTCCTGACTCTAGGCCCTGCACTCTATCCACTGTGCCACCTACCTGCACTTAATTCTTTTTTTTTTGTCCCTAAAAACTTATTTTATTTTTAATTTATAAAATAAAATAAGCATTTCCATAACAGTGGGATAATAAAAAGATGATTACACTTGAAACAGCAAATCTATTATGTACAACTTGCTATTCCTTCTAAGTATATAATAAATTTATGTAAATTTTTTTCTTTTTTTTCTTCCCTCTCCCCGTGGCTACCATTAGACACAATATGTAAAATCGTTCTATGTAAACTGCTATTTATCAGTTCTTCCTCTAGATGCAGATAGCATCTTCCTTCAGATGTTCCTTGTAGTTGACTTTCTGTACTTAATTCTTAACAATCAGAGTTATCCAAGAGTGGAATTGGGCTGCCTTAGGAGATATCAGGTTTCCCTGCTCGTCAGTGGTCTTCAAACATAAACTGGATGACTATTTGGGTATATTATAGTATAATAAGGATCGGGGAGGGTTGGTAAACTAGATGGCCACTGAGGACCTTTCCAATTTAGAAATTCTGTGATTTTGTAGGAAGAGAATGGAAGCAGGGATACCTATTAGAGGTTATTGGTGGATAGTAATTAGGGCCTGTGATGGCAGTGGGATTAGAGGTGGGGATGGGGAAAGGGAACACAGACATGAAAAATATTGAACAGCTAGATTCAACAAGATTTGATTATTGATTGGATATGAGAGGTGAAGGAGAGAAAAGATTCAAAGATAACCCCAGAATTTTGAACCTTTGAGACTTAAAGATTAGTGTCACCCCAGACAGAAACAACAAAGTCAGAAGGAGAAATGGGTTTAGGGAGAAAGAGAATAAGCTTAGTTTGTGGGACATGTTGAATGTGAGGTGTTTGTGGGATATCTAGATGGAGATATCCTATACTTTATTGTAGATAGAGGTATCAAGCTCAGAAAAGAGACCAGGGTTGGAGATGGAGTTTTGGGAGTTATCCACATGGAAGTGGTAGTTAAAGATATGGGATTGAATAAGGTTACTATTGAATGAATAAATTAAAAAAAACATTAATTAAGTGTTTACTACATGCAAAGCACTGTGCTAGCCATAGGAGATATAAATAGAAAGGAAAGAAGGTCTCTGCTCTTACAGAGCTCATATTCTAAGGGGGGAGAGATGGAAAGGTCCTTCGGATCCAGTAGCAAAGCAGATGGTAATGCATCCATGTCATTCTCATTGATAAAATCATGCCAGTTTCTGATGTTGGACCATTTGACAGTGCCAAGAACTTTCTTTTCTAAGTTTATAGTAGCTGTACCAACAGTACCAGCAGAAGAAATTGCCGGGATGCATCTTTCTGGGAGTTGCTTCCCAGGATGATGACTTTGAGATCCAGGCAGGAAGCAAGGCCGGTGGTCTGGGGGAGAATTAGTGAGGGAGTAAAGTAGGATTTTTGAACTTCAGTGAGAGCCCAGCTAAAGGTATAGATCGTCCATTTAGAGTGAAATCAGCTCTGTTGTGTGACCTTCTCAGCCTGAGAAGCAAAAATAGAGAAATAAGATGCAGAGGATGGTGCTCGGGGATGAAATGAATGAAGCAAAAAGGACAGAAGAAGGTCAAGGGCAAGGCCTTCTGGGACAGTGGCTGGTAAAACATGAAAGTGGAAGGTCATCAAGCTGGGGGGAAATAGATAAAACCAGAGTGGGAGGATGGGCTGGGAGAACAGAGATGGGTCTGCAGTAGTCGTGATAAGGACAAAAAATAGATTTTAGTGTGAGAGAATGAGAGGGTGGAAGAGCTGGAGTCTGTGGTTAGAGAATAGAATTTTGGAAGTTGGGGAGCTTGAAAGGGGCATGGTTCTGAGAAATAGTAAAGCCTAAGCCTTGCTGGGGTGGGGAACCTGCAGGCTCGAGGCCACATGTGGCCTTCTAGGTGCTTGGGTTCAGCCTATTAACCAAGTCCAAGTTTTACAGAACAAATCCTCTTATTAAGGGGATTTGTTTTGTGAAGTTTGGATTCAGTCAAAGGGCCACACTTGAGGAACTAGAGGGTCACATGTTGCCTGGGCCACAGGTTCCCTACCCTTGGAAGATATAGCCATGCCCACACACAGCTGAAGTAGGGTGGAGAAGGTTGTGGGGTTGAAGAATTGTGTGGTCCAGCTCTTAAAGGGACTGAATATTGAAGTCCTTCAGGATGGTGGCAGGAGATAGGGCAGAAAGGAAAACCATGAGCAAGATGCTAAAATAATTGAGGAAATTAGGAAAGGGAACCAGAGGTGAGTAGACCAGAGTGTGGTGTGTATTGCCTGGCCTTCAGAAGAGAGACAGGAATTTAGGGGAATGGTGTGAAGTAGTGGAAAAGAAATCACAGAGCCCGTCCATCCCTCTTCTTGCTCCTGAAGCTAAGTCAGAGAAGTGACCTCCTTATCCCTCAATACTTTCTCCATTGGTATTCTTGGGAGAGAGCTGGGTTTGAAACCAGAAGGTGGGATATGGTTAAAAAGTCTGGAGGTCTCATGGGGCTGTCATTCCTCTGTTGGATATATTAATTTCTGGCTTCCTGAGAAATGGTGGGTCTCTAAGGGCCTCATTGTCAGGCAGCATTGAACAAAAGGTGGCCAACCTTCTCCCTCTAAAGCGCAAAAAGTAATAGTCATGATATCATCAATTTATAGCTGGAAGGGACCCCAGAGGCCATCTAGTCCAATCTTTCATTTTAGAAATGAGGAAACGGGTTCAGAGAGGTTGTGACTTGCCCCAAGGTCAGACAGTCAGTAAGTATGGGGCCAGATTCAAACCCGCGTCTTCCTGGCTTTGTTTAATCCTTTCCCCACCACGGCACAGCTCTCAAATCTTTAACCTCAGGTTTTTTCCTATCCCTAGACTTCCCTAATACAACATCATAAAGGAAAAAAAGCCTATCACTTTATCCCTCTGGTCTTGAGATCCCAGCAGAGAGAGGCCAGGGCAGAGGGGACAGCCTTTAGGATTAGAGTTGGGCTTCCGTGGCACTTCTTCTCTCCCATTTATGATTTCCATTGTGGTGAACAAAGATGGAGAGAGGGGAATGCAGTAGGGGATGCCACCTGCCATCCAGAAACCTTCTCCTTGGAGGTTGGGCTGTCTTCCTGTGTGGTTGCCCAATGCAATGCTGATTGGAGTTCCTAGAACCTATCTTGTTAGCATCTTGGTTTGTCCTATAAAATGGAAGCTCCTTGAGGGCAGAGACTGCTTCATTTTTGTCTTTGTATTGCTAGCGCTTAGGGATAAGTGCTTTGTAGCACTTAGCTCAGTGCTTGGCACACAGCCGATGTTTAGTAAATGTTTGTTGATTGATTCATACAGGCAGAAAGATCTTTGGGATGTATACACACATATATGTGCACACACTTTTACATACTTAGGTGGTTGCATAAAACGCCATCAACACAAACCAGAGTAGGAGCCGGTTTCTGAAGGAATTTCTGGCCCAAGCTACTCAGTTGACCTATATGTTTGTGTCTGTGTCTGCCCAGAGATGAGCAGATCCAGGAGTGGTGTGGAGATGATGCCATACACTACCTGTCCTTCCAACGCCATATCATCTTCCTGCTGGTGGTGATCAGCTTCTTGTCTCTCTGTGTCATCCTGCCTGTCAATCTCTCGGGTGATTTACTGGGTAAGAATTCTCCCTACCCATTTTTCTGATTGGAGAAGAGAGAGTCCAGAGCAGGGTCCCCCTGTAGAGCTCATTCACAAAGATCCAGCATGGATCTCTAGGGATTAAGTGCTGAATTCAGATTTGAGAAAGTCTGAGTGCCAGAGACCTAGCCAAGGTCACACAAATATGTTATATAGCAAACCTGAAATTTGAACGTAGGTCCTTTGTTTCTAAATTCACATTATAACTCTCTTCAGTTAAGTTCCACATTCTGTAACTTTTTCCCCCCTTCGAATATTCCATGAGGGATCTCATTTGCAAATGCTGAAATTAATCTTCATCCCTGGCAGAGATTCCCAAACCTAGTTTTGTGATGCCCTATGATGTTTCTAATTATCCTAAGGGTTGTAATGAAGTTATCTAGAACTAAATTTTAATTTATTTTGACTTATAAAAATGCATGCATACTGGATATTAAAAGGAGAAAAATCCAGGATGGTGTTCCAAAGTGAACCCTGGATGAAGTATTCTAATTTCCTGAGAAATGAGAATCACTGGTTTGGAGGCTAGGCAACATTTTATTTCAACACCTTACAAGAGTTCTATAAACACAAGCTGACTTTCCCTATCAGTCTTCTTCAAGACTGTCTCAGGATAGTGTATCTGTGGTTTATCTTCAGATAAAGATCCTTACAGTTTTGGGAGGACGACGATAGCAAATCTGCAGACTGGGTGAGTATCAGAATTGGGGAGCGTATGACCCCAGCGGAGGCTGGGCCAGCAATCCTTGCTCTGATGTGTCTTTCTTCTCAGGGAAGAATTTAATGGGAAGCCAGACCAGAGAGCTCAGGAAAGGCCACCACACAAGTTCAGAAGACAAGAGGAGTGGGTTTAGGGTGGAAGACAAAATTCAGTTTTGGACAAGCTGACTTTGAAATGCTTGTTGGATATAACAGTTGGAGATAACCTATAGACAGTGGGAGATGCAGGGCACCACCTCAGAATCAAGTTCAGGGCTGAAGGATCAGCTTTGGGAGTCAGAGATGGTAGTCGAAAGTACAGAATTGAGTGAGGTTATGATGGGAGCAAGCGTAGGGAGTGGAGTGTTTCTGAGTCCCTCCCTGTAAGATCCAACTCAATCATCATTTTCTGTATGAAGACTTTCCTATCCACCCCCTCCCAACTGCTAGTACCCTCCCTTCCAAACTATCTTGTATTTAATGAACTTGGACTGATTCGTATTTATTCACTTTTAACTTAAGCTGTAGATACACGTAAATGTACTTATCCCCTCCTTTAGGATGTAAATTCCTTGACAGCAGAGACTGTTTAATTTTTGTTCTCATATCTTCTTCACCTGGCACAGTGCTTGTCACTTCTTAAGTATTTAATAAATATTTGTTGATTTATTGATATTGATGAGGGAAGAGGGAAAGTGCAAGCAGTTTTATGAACTCTCCCTAGCTGTGAGTGTGTGGCTGTGAATGTCACAGACAAAACCCATGTTTTGCAGGGGGTGCTTACAAAAGGTGGAGCCCCTGATGCCCTGGAGATACAGATATTTTACAGTTAACAAGGAATAAGGGCGGGGAGGGAGCTTTCTGATATCTTTACTTCAGGACCCAAAGTATAGACTGTTGATCTTGTCCTAGGCACCTTTCTTTTCTTTATCCCTCACATTTGAATCTCTGCTCTGCCTTCCTCCTACCCCTTCTCTTTCAGTAGAACCAGAGCTTTTCTAGCCCCAGCCCAAGGACGACAGCAGTGGTCCCAGGGCCAGAAACTGCTGCAAAGCTGAGGAGTTAGGCATTTTACTAAATGCTAGGATTTGCTAGGCACTGTGCTAAGCATTGGGAGTACAAAGAAAGGCAAAAACACTGTGCCTGCCTTGAAGGAGCTCACTTTCCAATGGGGGAAGATACCTACAAACGACTATGTATGTACAAGATATACAGAGTGGAGGAAAGGTAATCTGAGAAGGGAAGTGGCTAGCAGATGAACTTCTGCGAAGTAGAATCAAAAAAGAGGATTGTGTGTGCAATTCTTAGGTGCTCCTTTTGGTGCCCCCCAAACCCAACTCTGAGCCTCTTTTTCTCCCTTCTCAGAAATGACTTGCTCTGGCTGCACACCATCTTTGCCGTCATCTACTTGCTGCTCACCGTTGGCTTCATGAGGCACCACACCCAGTCCATCAAGTACAAAGAGGAAAACCTGGTCAGTGAACATAGCCAGAGCCTCTGCCCCGAAATGGGAAGAGTGCAAAGAGGGAAGGCCCAGTGGGAACTCCCCCAGTCTGTTCTGATCTCTGCTTGAGGTCAGAAAGGGCGTTGGTGGAGCCCAAGATTGTAGATTTGCTCCTGAATTTGTCCTGGGCTTTTCAACTGTTTCTTCCAAGGTCTAAAGGACAAGACCATCAGCAGAGGAGTTTTGACTTTTATTTTTTATTTTGCTGACTGGTTCTTTTCTGCTGAGATTTTGGACATTTTATCCTCAAGTCATATCTTAAAAACAAAACAAAACATTTTACTGATGCCTTTTGTCTAAAGAAAAAACCCCAACAATCCTCTCTCCACTCCAGACTGAACTCCCCCGTATAACAAAGAAAAGCAGTTAAGCAAAAACACTTGATACAGCAGTGTTGTCTTACAATGTATATTCCATTCTATCCTTGTGTTCCCCACCCCTGTGCCTTGAGGAGAGAGGTCTCTCTGTTTCATTATCTGTTCCCCAGGATCATCATTGGTCTTTTCGTTTATTCATGTTAGTTTCCTTTTGGTGATCTTTTTTATTTATATCATTATAGTCATTGGGTATTGGGTCTTCTTACTTCCTGAGTCATATCTTTATTTTTTTTCATTTTAAATAGTATTTAATTTTTCTCCAATTACATATAAAGACAATTTTTAACATTTGTTTTTTAAAAATTTTGAGTTCCTAATTTTCTCCCTTCTCTCATCTTCTCCCTCCTTGAGACAGTAAGCAATTTCTTATAGGTTATACATGTGCAGTCATGCAAATTATATTTCCAAATTCCACATTGTGAAAGAAGACACAGACCTAAAGGAAAACACACACACACACACACACACACACACACACGCACACACACTCACACACTAATATTCTTCAACCTGCATTCACATGAGTCATATCTTAAAAAAAAAATCTTTTAATCTCTTCTCCAAGTTGAAATCAAGTAAGAAGTATTATGCCCCAAGATCCAGCAGCATCTGCCTTCTTGCTGGTCCCCGCACATAATACTCCATGTCTGTACTTTCTACTTCTTATGGTCAAGTATACTCTGTGTGATTGAGGGCAAGCCTAGTTCCCCTAGGTGAATTGTTCTCAGTTAGCTGGGCCCTAGATTTACTGTGTGGCCTTGAGCTGGCCAGTTCTCTTTTCTGGGTTCTTGTTTCTCAGTCTTCCCACCTTGCCAATAAAGCCACCATTGTGGTTTCCTGTGCTTTGTAGGCCTCTGAAGAAGGTGCTACATAAATGAACCCCTTCTGTTTAAGGCAGCAGAAAAGCCCAAAGCAAAAGCCAATAAACCATCCACTAGTTTCCCAGATGTTTTCTTTCTGGGACTCTGGAAAGAACAAAACAAACTGTGCTATTTTCTGTGAGTTTCTCAAAGCCCTTCAGGAGCAGCTGTCAGAGGATCTAGATCCTAGTTTCCCTTCTGCCACTTACTGGGTGAACACCATTGGGCAAGTCCTTGAGCCCTTTTGGGTCTCAGTTTCCTCCTCTGTAAAATGGGGAGAATGACCCCTGCCTGGTCTATCTACTTCCTAGGGTTGCTTTGATGTTGGAATGAAATTATTTATATAAGAATACTCTGTAAACTGGAGAACGCTTTGGCAGGGGGGAATCCTAACATACATTAATTATTTATTGATTATTAAGGTTTGCAAAGGACTCTTTGTACAAGACTCATTTGGGCATTGCAGCAGCCCTGAGGGACGTGTCCTAGAGGTGTTATTTACAAAAGTAAGACTGGTTTTTGCTTTTCTCCTACAGGTGAGACGCACTCTGTTTATTACAGGACTCCCCAAAAATACCAGGAAAGAGACATTAGAAAGCCACTTCAGGTAAGAAGGGCAATGGTGGAGCTTCCTAGGGCCAAGCCCGCAGCAGGGGTGAAAACACTCTTATTCATTAGGTCAACCTAGGAAATATCCCAGAGCCATGTGGAAGTCACGCTCCAGGACCTGCCCTGGGGTGGCCTCATTGAGAATATTTGGTCATGGAACCATTCTGGCTGTTTAGTAACTAATCCCCTTGGATAGGGGGGAGTGGGAATAATAACAAGAAAACCTGTTTTATACTGTAGCACTTCATTAATTCAGACTGTCTTCTCTGAGACCTTGGACCAGGGCTGGGCTGAAGTGTATCTTTGTCCAGTCTACCAAGAAGAGAAACAGCATGGAAATGTGATTAGAGTGCTGGGCTTAGGGTCAGGAAGACCTGAGTTCAAGCCCAGGCTTTGAGGAAGAAAAGGGAACAAGAATTTATCAGACACCTACTATGTGCCAGGCATGGGCTGAATGCTTTAAAAATGTTGTCTCCTTTGATACTCACAACCACCCTGGGAGGTAGGTGCTATCATTGTCCCTATTTTACAGATGAGGAAACTGAGGTCATCAGGGGTTAAGTAACAGCTAGACAGTGCCTCAGACTAGATTTGAAACTCAGGCCTTCCTCACTTCAGGCCCAGTGTTCTACCACATAGTTGTACCACGTATAGCCTCAGGAGATTTGCCAAAGATGACATAAGTAGTAAGAGTAAGAATATTATACCTGAAAAGGAGAAACTTAGATTTGTGTGTTTATACTGAGCTAGGAAGTTTCCTTGAATAATCATGTGTGGATAATTCCTGTTAAACATCTTTCTTGAATAAAGTCATAAATTTATTTTGCGGGTGTCAGCTTTATCAACATACTATCTTATATGCCAAAATATCCAAAGAGTACTGATCTCCAGCAGATTTTTGGGTACAAGCAGGCTAGATAAGATTTTTCCAAGGGAATTAGAGCATATCCCTCAAAGTCTCTTCTCCTAGAAGTTTTATTAACATACTCAGAAAACAAAAATTGGAAGAGTAATGCAAAACAATTTATCAGTCATTCAGTCAATTAACACTTACACCCCTTGTGTGCCAGGCACTGTTTTAAGTGCTGGAAATCAATGAAAGGTTCCTTTGAGGAGCTCACAGTCTGATTGGGAAGACAACGTTCAAATAACTATGCACAAACAAGCTACGTACTATACAGGATAAATAGGAAGTAATTAACAAAGGAAAGGCCCTAAAATGAAGAGGAATTGGAAAAGACTTCCTGTACAAGGTGGGATTTTAGCTGGGATTTAAGGGAAGCCAGGGCAGGTAGGAGGCAGAGATGAGGAGGGAGAACATTCCAGGAATAGGGGACAACCAAGGAAAATGCCCAGAGTCTGGAGATCAAAGAACTGCATGGAGGACATGGAGTTCTAAGAACTCCCTGGATCACAGAGCATGTGGGGGATGGGAGGGAGGAGGGCGTGATGACGTGGGGCACTAAGGAGGTTGTAAATGGAAGATTTTCTATTTGAAGCTGGAGGGGTAGGGGATAAAATGGAATTTATTAAGTATGGGAGTGATGTGGTCAAATCTGTGCCTAAGGAAGATCATTTTGATAGCTGAGTTGAGGATGGACTGGAGCAGAAAGAGACTTGTGGCAGCAAGACCAACTAGGAAACACCAATAAAAATTTTTAAATGCATAAAAATATATAAGATTACAAAGTAAACCAATTATATTGAAATATAGTTATCCAAATCTTTAAAAAAAAAGTTCATGGATCCCAGATTAAGAACCCCTTTCTAGATTTTTAGGAGTTCTTCATAAAAACAACCTATGAGAAGCTCATTTTGGCCATTGGTTACCATTTTAAATGAATGCTGATATTCTCTGAGTGAAGTTTGCTTTTTTCCCATAATGCCTACTTTGTGTCCTTTTTCCTCCTTTTTCCATGCTGCAGAGATGCCTATCCCACCTGTGCGGTAGTAGAGGTCCAACTATGCTATGATGTCGCCGAGCTGATTTATCTGTGTAATGAAAGGTAAGTTAGGGAATACGCGTGATGTTGAGGGGTCCTGTGAGAGTGGGAGAAAGGGAACCTAATGGATTAAGCAAGACTGTCTTGTTCTGGTCCTATTTTCCTTGGTGAGCCGTGTCTCCTCAGCTATAAAGTGAGTGAGACCTCTGCTTGAAATGACAAAACAATTTTAATTTAAAAAAAAATTGTCATAGACTATAAGCTTCTTGAGGGCAGAGACTATTTTATTTTTGTCTGTCTTTTCCTCTAGCACAGTGCCTCGCACATAATTGGCACTTAATGAGTCTCTGAATTTAATTGAAATTTTGTCCCCGTGGCCACAAAGAGCAATCTTATCCACTCATGTTCTCTGACCACACTTTGGAAAACATTGACTGTGTTTTTTGTTTCTCTTGATTCCCACCCCACCTCCCACCCCCATTTTCAGGAAAAAAGCTGAGAAAAGCCTGAACTATTATACTAACCTGCAGACAAAGACTGGAGAGAGCACACTCATCAACCCCAAGCCCTGTGGCCAGTTCTGTTTTTGTGAAATCCAGGGGTGCGAGAAGGTGAGGACCTTGACCCTTTAGTTAGGCAGGAGTAGATACTGTTCCACAATCTTCTGGGAGCTGCCTCCTCTTTATCTCAGTCAGTGTACGTGGGTTGAGTTCCTACAGAACGGGTTATTTGTACTATGGTACTATGTGGTACTATGAAGGTCCCATGGTTTTCTGGGGCTGGGCAGCGTCTCATCTCTCCTTACCATATTGCTGTGGATCAAGTCGGTGTTTTCCCGGCAGGAAGATGCCATCGTCTATTACACCCGGATGAAAGACAGGCTGCTGCAAAGGTTATTGCAAGAGGAATGCACAGTTCAGGATCATCCCTTGGGAATGGCCTTTGTCACCTTCCAGGAGCACTCCATGGCTACCTTGTGAGTGGATACAATTTGTGGAATGGGCCCTGGATCCTGCTTTCCTCAAAAGCTCTCTCTGTTTCCTGTCTCTGTTCATCTTTTGTTCATTTCCTACTTGCCCAGGACTTTCATGGGCTAACTTTTAGATACCAAGAGGATACTGTTAATTCACCATGACTAGGACATATGGCCTTCTCTTCTTCTGCCGTAGAAGTAAGGGACTACAATGAACCATCCTCACTTTCTCAGCTACTCTCCTTTATGACCCATGGTATACATTTGTAAGATGGCCAATAGATTAAGGGTATAGTCTTTTACGATCACAGAACAGGGATTGCTAACTGGTTCATGTAATGATTCACTGCTGGCCTTGTTCTCATCAGCACTAGGCTTTAATTAAATGAGCTGACAAGCTTTGGTGTCACCTTAGAGAATTATCCCACTTTAGCTCAGGCTTTGTCCTTCTTGCCAGATTTAAAAAGTCTTCCCTCTATTCCATTCCCACCTTCGTGATATCCGTGTTAGAAACACAGTGATCCTTTCTCCAACTTTTGAATTCCCCAATTTTCCATGAAGTCTGAATAACATTAAGTCTGGGAAGAACATGAGCTTGCTGTCCCAGGTTTCTTCCCAACCCAGTTATATCCATCTGTGGCCCACTCACTAAAGCATCGAATGTGGGAATATCTAAGAGGCACCATTGATCCATTGGAGGTAAAGTCTCCCCAGTGTCACTAGCCTTAAGAAGACATCATCATATGGAAGACTCTCTTCCTTTTGTCATGGTTCCTTGCTCATAAATCATCTAGGAGAACTTTATTAAAGATCCAAAGATGACAAGAGGCACATATAGCCACAAGGAGTCTCCTTTAAGAAGACAGTCATCACATCCTTTGCCACCACTGAGCCTGAAGGAGTTTTATACCTCTCAGAATTTCTGTTAGTATTAGTCTTGTAGGTGGGCTAATCTTCATTTCCAGAAATAAGACTGTCTGTTTTATCATCTTAGAAGCAATATAGAAGCATGGAGGGCTTGAGGGGAACCAAGACAAAATTAAATGTCATTTTTCAGCTTAACTAAGCAGAAGCCATTTTCTAAGTTAGAGTTACTCATGTCAAAAGAGGGACAATGAAAGGCATCTCTCTCTTTGCCTCTCTATACTTGGGAGCAGCCTGGCTCCAAGGAAAATGTAGCCATCTGAAGTATTTTCCTCCCTCCCTCCCCTACTCAGACCCTGAAGGCCAACTAGGTCCCTCTCCCACCCCATGTCTCTGATATATGTAGGACCTTGGGAGAACATCTCTTTCAGTGTTACCCCTGGATAAGTATCACATCATTCACTTGGGGGCTTCAGAGCTACAGGAATAACAGGAGGAGTGGAGGATGAGCCTGAGATAGAAAAAGGCCTGTGATTGGAAAGAGGAATATTCTGAGGAAGTTTATTTGTAGAGGGAGAGAAGAGACAAAGTGGGCCCTGAAGGTATACCAATGAGCAGGACCATTAGCCTGTAAGACTGGAGAAAGCTCCATGATCTTGGACAGGAGAGACTTCAGGGACAGGAATGTCTCATAGGAAGGCAGAGGTGGCCATCTCACTGCCTCAAGCATTTTCAGAATGTCTTCCAATGAATCCTAGTCTTTGCCGAAGCGGGAATGAGCCCCTTCTGTGTGCTGAGTTTGTTCCAGTCTGTCTTTTGCGTCGACAGCATCCTCAAGGATTTCAACGCTTGCAAGTGTCAGGGCTGCAGATGCAAAGGTGAGCCACAGCCCTCATCCTACAGCAGAGAACTCTGCACCTCCAACTGGACTGTTGCCTTTGCCTCCTATCCAGAGGATATTTGTTGGTGAGCTCTCGGCCTGACTCAAAGGGACTGGTTTTGGGGAGGGGTATTGGTGGAAAAGACGTGTATTTATTACGATGATTTTTGTATCAGTTGTTCATAGTTGTGTCTGGCACAAATCCCTGGGGACCATAAGATATGACCTTCCCACCCCACTATGCTGATAACAGTGGTAGTAATGACTCACATTTATACAGAGCTTTAAAGTTTGCAAAGGTCTTTAAATCCATTATCTCATTGGATCATCACAATCAAACTGTGAGGTAGATATAACAGGCAAGTGTTATTATCCACATTTACAGATGAGGAAGTGAAACTGATTTTTCCAAAGTTAATGAGTGTCAGAAAGGGTGGGAAACCAGGTCTATCCTGACTTACAGGACACCACTTCTAACCACTGTACCACACTACGTGCAGTTTAGTGGAATTCTGCCTAGTTGTCTCACTAATCACTTTCTGACCTGTCTTCGCTGTAACACTATGACAGGTTAAATGGTGGAAGTTCAGACTATTAATGACTTAGCTTCTTGGGGTCCCTACATGTAGCTTATTAACCCAGTTACCCCCTCCCCTGGGTCATGGGTTAGCAGCCCCTCTGTTCCATGGTAATTCTAAGGCAGGAGTTCTCAATGTGGAGTCTGTGGATAGATTTCAAAGGGTCATGACTTGTATCAGGGAAAAAAGTGACATCATTACTTTCACTAATGTTTAACTGAAATTTAGCATTGCCTTTATTTTAAAATGTTATTCTAAGAAGAGAGCCATAGTTGTACCATATGCTCAAAGCATGTGGTACCAAAAAACAAACAAACAAACAAAAAACCGTTAAGAATACCTGGTCTAAGGCATAAGCTGGAAGCTTCAATCAACAGGCATTTCTTAAGTACCTGTTATGTGCCTGGTGCTGTACTAGGTGCTAGGAAGAATAGGAAAAGAGAGAAACACAGAGGTTGGTAGCAACACATCAGTGCTGTAGGTTGCCTAACTTTGCCTTCTTCCCTCCTCAAGCCAGAAGTGTTCTCTCCTTGGCTGTTTTACAACTCAGCTTAAGGAAAACTTGCTTAATTGCAGTGGGGGAGGGGGTGGTGGGAGTGGAGAATCCATCTTATAATTTGGGAAATTTTTCTTATTTGTCACTAACTCAGTTGGCTCCCTATGAATGTGGGTGATACTATTTCTTACCTCAGTTAAGCACCTACTATGTGCTAAACACCATGTTCATCTCTAGGGATACAAAGAAAAAAACCCCATCACTTCCCTCAAGGAGTTTACGTGCTAATGGGGGAATACATAGGTAAATATACACATATACACATGCATATATATAGATGCACACATATAAATTATATCGATATGCACATAAATATATATTCACACACAAATTATATATAAATATACAAAATATTATACATATATAAAATACACATGCAATATAAGTATACACATAAAAATATAAACGCATGTAAATTACATACACACAATTCACACACACATATGTAACTTTATACATACATATATTGTAAATCAAACTTCTCTATCTATCTATCTATCTATCTATCTACACACACACATACATGCACACATATGGAAGCTGAGAGCCCATCACATGGCTGGTAGGCTGCAGAGCAGGAGCCAGAACCCACTTTTTCTCATGGCTCCTGGCTCAGTACCCTTTCCACAGCCCCAGCTATGTCTCCAAGTTACAGTTACAAAGTAAACATATATGTCATCCAGTGGGTAACCCAAGGAGGGTGAACTCGCCTCTTTTGTTTCCCCTCCAAGCCTGCAGGGATCCAGTGGTTTGGCCTGCCTCTGGTTGAAAGCCAGTGCAGAGGTGGGTCTTACGTTAACTCCTGCATGTCCAAAAGTCAAGTTTTTGCATTGAATCCCTCAGTAGGAATCCTCCACGGCCCCAGCCTTGGTTGTCTAAGGACTAGATATACTTTAATACCTCTGAGTCTCTGGACATGGGCGATACCTCTACACCTGGGCCTGCTGCTAGCTGGAAATGCTGAGGCGGGTCAGGAAACACTGAAAATGAGTTTCTCTTCCCTTGTTGTCTTCCTTTCTCCTACAGGAAGAATCTTTCTATTCAGGGCCTCCAATGGTGGTTCCAGTGGTCAGGCATCAATTTCATCCTCTTCGTAGTATTGTTCTTCCTGACCACTCCCTCCATCATTATCTCCACCATGGACAAGTTCAATGTCACCAAACCCATTCATGCCCTAAATGTGAGTACTGGGTTTCCACCTTGGGAGGGGGGAGGGTGGGGATGACAGGGAAGGAGAGAAAGAGGGAGAAATTGGCATGGTAATTGAGATAAGAAGGCTAGAGACTGAGAGGGATGAAGGGGCCACACATGTTTTATTTTCTGTAGTTTTAAGTCTTGAGTAGAGAAGATGAAAAATCTCTAACACTTAAGACTGGGAATCCCTTAAAATTATAATAACGATAATGAAGAAGGAGATGGCTAGATAGTATAGTGGATAAAGTGCTGGAAGACCTAAGTTCAAATCCTTTCTCATTCATTTATTAGTTTTGTGACCCTGAGCAAATCTCTCTGTGCCTCAGTTTCTTTATCTATAAAATGAGGAGATTTGGGCTTGATGGCCTTTGAGGTCCCTTCCTGCTGTAGAATTATGATCCTATGAAAATAACCGACATTTATGTTACACGTCAGCATTTGTAAAGCATTTTACATGCAGTCTTTCATTTGAACCAAACATCATCACTGTTGGGTAGGCATATGAGTATTATTATCCCCATTTAACAGATGAAGAAACTGAGGTTCCTTCAGATTAAGTGACTTGTCCTGCCTGGTTCAACCACCATATTTTACATATGGGAAGAATGAGGCTTCTTCAGGTGAAGTGACTTGTCCAGGGTCACATCACTCCTTAGTGGCAAAATTGGGGTTGGAAGAATCCATGGAGCCTGACTCCCAGTCTAAGCTTCATCCCACTATGTGTATGTAGTTAATTTTACTGCATCATATTTCAGCTTGAGGTTATAGTCATTGGTTTTCCTGGAATTGGCCTGGCTGAGATATTCACTTTCCCATTCCTTTCCCCCCACTCACACGTATCTTTGTGGATTTTGTTTCTATTTCATTCTGGTGTTTGGTAAATTGTCAGCTATTCTTTTCAGACCCCTAATTCTCCCCTTATCCCTCCCCTCCCAGGCATTGAGTGCTGATGCCAGCAGGTCCTTTCTCCATAGAGTCCGGTGGGCCCTGTTTTGCCTGCCCTTGCTGAGGCTGACTCTGGCTCTTATTCCCTAGGACCCAGTAATCAGTCAGTTCTTCCCAACACTCCTTCTGTGGTCCTTCTCTGCACTGCTGCCTTCCATTGTCTACTACTCCACACTGCTGGAGTCACATTGGACCAAGTGAGTGAGCAGGGTCCCCCAGCCTTCCCTTCTTAGAGGTGTGGCTTTGGCCTGTATATACATGACAGGGAACCTGAAAAGGATCATTGGAGGGCATGGTGGGAATCTTTTGGACGCTCACGTTTTCTTTTCTTCAGGTCAGGAGAAAATAGAATAATGATGGTCAAGGTGTACATTTTTCTGATCTTCATGGTGCTGATCCTTCCCTCTCTGGGTCTTACCAGGTATAAAGCATCACTTTCTACTTTGAGATCCATGTCTTTCTCCATAGAAATATGGAATTTCATTCACACTGACCTATGAGTATTTTTATTTTTTTCATTTATATGTTACCTATTAGAGTAAGATTGTAGAGGTTCAGTTTGAATTAGGCATTGACTTATCAAAGAGAGATTCATCTCAAACCCCGCCACCTTTTTACTTGGATAATTAAAAGCAAAACCACCTTTTAGCTATGTCACTTGGGGAAGCTCTAGTCACTGACCATATGTGTCCTATTTAAAAGTCACAGAAGAGAGGTGGCACAGTATGGTGGGAAAAGCCATAGACCTCTAGTTAGGAGAATTGGGTTTGAATCCGAGTTCTTCCTCTTACTAGTAGGATGACCTTGGACAGATCCCTTATCCTTGATAAGCCTTGATAGCTGTAAAAAAAAAAAGGATGGATTACATCTCTTGACAGAGACAGAATCAAGATGTGGAATGAGTCATACATTTCAAAGCCCACTGACATCACAGAATTTGTTTTGTTTAATTTCGTATATTTGTTATCAGTTTTGCTTTTCTTTTTCACTTGTAGGGAGGCAAGATCAGAAGTGGAGGGAAGCTAGTAATAGGGTTACAAAAGAAAAGAAAGAGAAACGGGTTATTGAAACTTTTTTTTTAACACACAGAAGAAAACAGAAGGAAGTCTAGAAGGAAACAGACAAATAGGAGAGCTTTGAAAGTATAAGGCTGAATTTATTATATTTAAAAGGGAAAGCCAGCTGTATATAATCAAGACCAGCAGTTCCATGTACAGTCTTCTTTTTCCATTCTGTTGTGTGTGTGTGTGTGTATGTATCACATACATACACAAACATTATTATTTCCATATAATAGTTTTTTATTTGGTGTGTATGTTTAGAATTTTTTAAAAAAAAAGTATACCCACTAAGAACCTGAAAGAGCTTAAAAAAAAAAAAGAAAAAGAAAGAAAACGAAGGGGTTAGATTAGATGATCTCAGAGGCCTCTTTCAGTTCTAACTTTCTATAATTCCTTACAGAGAACAGATATAACACCAGCCACTGGATTAGAGAAAAAGTGTAGGTGTGCATCTGTCTCTGTGGATAATGAAAATAATCTCATGGGATCCATTTCTATTCCAGTCTAGACTTTTTCTTCCGGTGGCTGTTTGACAAAGCTTCCTCTGAGACCTCAGTCAGATTGGAGTAAGTGGTACCCATAACATCTCCCCACACACATAACCCTTAGTGTTCCACCCATCTGTCTGGCATACTCCCAGGGGCAAACACCCCACAGAGGAATGGAAGCCTGCCCAGGATAAAGGGGGAACCCAGTGCAGAAGCTTTCAGGTTGAAATCTGTGCTGCAGGAAAAGACATTTTCCCTCATTTCCCCCTCTTTTCCATGCCCCCCCCCAAAAGCAAGGCCTTGGGCTTTGCTGTCCCATATTAGGATTTCAGCCACTTTGGGGGTGGGTACCTGTGGAACCTGCCTTGTCAACATGTTTCTGAGCTGACCCACTTTATACTGTGCTTATGGAATGTTATTAATTTTCTGAGGATAAAATTCAATTAGCCAGAGCCTTATTCATCCTCTGAAACTTATTTACAGCAAACCCATCCACTTGGGGGAGCAGGCACACTCGGGAAGGGAAGCAGCAGGATAATTAAACTATAATACTGAACTGGCTGTCCTTGTGGGATCTGTTTGTCGGAACAGCTCAGACATATGCTGTAAGCACACTCATACACCCACCCGCCTATTGTCCTTTCCAAGGACTCTTGCCCTGCTTGCCTTCTTGTGTTATTGGCATGATGGCATAGTTCATTTGCTTATCTCTCCAGCTCCCCCAAAAGATTATTCTCTAAAGGAGAGGTCACGCCCTCCTGCTTTCTTGTTTTTTGGGGACCTTCCCTTTCCCCCAGTCTCCTGCCTAGTCTCTATCACTGACCCTGACCCCAGCTTTCCCTTAGGTGTGTCTTCTTGCCTGACCAAGGAGCCTTCTTTGTGAACTATGTCATCGCCTCAGCCTTTATCGGCAATGGTATGGAGCTCCTGCGGCTGCCTGGGCTCATTCTCTACACCATCCGCATGATCATGGCCAAGACAGCTGCTGACCGAAGGAACCTCAAACAGGTGCTGGAACGTTTTCCGCTGTCTTCTCAATGGACTCAGCGCCCTCTCCTCTCTTGCCTTCTTCCTTTCATTGGCCAGTTAACAACAACTGAGTGGACACTCAGGGAGGAGTGAGAGATGTAGAATAGACTGACCTGGCCCTTAAGTAGCTTATAATTTGTCCAGGCAGAGTACTTATACACTCCGGAGTGTAATCAATTGCTCTCAATGCACTAGGAAGTTAGTGCTAGAGTGGGAAACAGCAATACATTTGGAATCACAGGACTTGGGTTTGCTATTTATTATCTTTTTTTTTTTTTGAGGTGATTGGGGTTAAGTGACTTGCCCAGGATCACATAGCTATTAAGGGTCAAGCGTCTGAGGCTGAATTTGAACTCAGATCCTCCTGACTCCAGGGCCAGTGCTCTATCCATTGTACCACCTAGCTGCCCCTATTTATTATCTGTGTGACTGAGCAAGTCACTTAACTTTGAGGGGGACTTCATTTTCCTCTTCTAGAAAATAAGAGAGTTGGACTTCGATCAGAGGTTCTTAACTTGGGGCTCAATTCTTAACCTTGGCCATGGTGGATACAGCACTGGACCCAGAATCTGGAAGACTTAAGAAGAGTTTAGATCCAACCTCAGCCACTTATTAGCTGCATGACCCTAGGCAAGTCACTTAATCTCTGTCCACCTCAGTTTTCTCATCTATAAAAAAGAGGATAATAATAATAATAATAACTCCCAAGATCGTTGTGAGGACAAAATGAAATATTTGTATAGTGCTTTGTGAAGCTTAAAGCCATGTAGAAATGCTCTTTGTTCAGTCATTTCAGTGGTGTCCAACTCTTCATGACCCCATTTGGGGTTTTCTTGGCAGAGATACTGCCAAGATACAGAGATCCTTCTTCAGCTTATTTTACAGATGAGGAAACTGAGGCAAACAGGGTGAAGTGACTTGCCCAGGGTCACATAGCTAGTAAGTGTCTGAGGCCAGATTTGAACTGAGGTCTTCCTGACTCCAGGCCCAATAATCTATCCGCTGTACCACCTAGCTGCCCATATAAATGCTAGCTATTCTTATTAAAGATGTTTGATAATTGCATTCCAGTGTAATTGATTTCCCTTGTAATTCTATGAATTTCATTTTATGCATTTAAAAACATTATCTGAGGATTCCATAGGCTTCACCAGAGTGCCAAAGGGGTCTCATACAAAAAAGGTTATGAACCCTTGATTTGGAGGATCTCCAAAGTCCCTTCTGGCCCTTAATTTCTATGATCTTCTGAGTTCAAAGAAGGAGGTGTCATCTGCGCAAGCTATGTGCAGAATGTGTTGTGTGTAGTCCTCAGAGACCCACAGCCGAAGTGAATTGGTATTGCCACCTTTAAGATGAGCAGATTGTCAGCATCTCAGGGTATGCTGGCTCTCAGAACAACAACAACAACAAAAACAAAAACAAAAACAAAAAACCCCCCAAAAATCCAAAGGGATACACAAAAACTTTCAAGTTTAATTTGCATTATTAACATTTTCTTCATGCTTTAAGTCTAGACATTCAATGAAATAATAAACCAAGCCCTGATTTGTCATGGTTGCCAATTTCCATCATATAAATGTTTACACTGAAGATTTAACAGCTGGTTTTCCCCAAGCCAGTTCAAGTTGGCTCCAGCATACCCATCTGCATCCCAGTTTTCCTCTCTGCTATAGATAATAGTATCTGCTCTCTATCCCACAGAAATAGGGAAGAGTATTGTAAGACAATTTGTACCCTGTTGTTTAAGATATTAGGGTGGATGGGCAGCTAGGTGACCAGTGGGTAGAGCAGCAGGCCTGGAGTCAGGAGGACCCGAGTTCAGATCTGGCCTCAGACACTTACCAGATATGTGACTGTGGGCAAGTCCCTTAATCCTGATTGGGGGGGGGGAGAGAAAAAAATATTAGAGAGTAAGGAAGAAGAGTCAGTAGTGACTTTATTACTATACCTCCATAGAGCTGTCAGAATAAAGTCATGTTTGGATATCAGTGTATGAATTATTGTGCTGTTCTTCATATGTAGGATAGCATATTCAGGAAAGACTTCATGGCAAGAGGATAAACTGATTTTAAAAGATTGGAGGGGGTGTATTTGGAGAAGGAGGGATAGTTCTAGGGACTTTCGTTCATAAAAACGTAGTTCCAGACCTGAAAGGGACCTCAGAGACAATTAGTCCAACTCCCTAGTTTTTCCAAAGAGGAAACCAGTTGGATCAAGTGACTTGCCCCAAGGTCATTCAGTTAGCATCAAAGACAAGATGTTTGTCTTCTACTTCTAAAATCCCTCATTATACATTCCTCACTTTTACCTTTTCCTTTTTTTTTTTTAACTAAACTCATTGGTGTAAGATATGTAGTTGAGTTTTGCAGTGAGGCAGCCCTATACGTTCACCTTCCCCTGTTCCTCCCACCCCTTTCCTCTCTAAAACCCTCCTTTCCTTCCAACCTCCAGCATCAGGCTTTTGAGTACGAGTTTGGAGCTATGTATGCATGGATGCTGTGTGTTTTCACCGTCATCATGGCCTACAGTATTGTCTGCCCCATCATTGTCCCTTTTGGTGAGTGCCTCCCCTCGCCCCCAACAGTATTCTTTGAAATGCTGTACCAAAGAGAATTCTCAATTATGAGTTTGGAAAGGAGTTTGTCCCAGAAAAGTCCTATTTGAGGGGAGATCCCAGAGAGAGTATAGCAGCTGCCTTTCCCCAGCAGCCATCAGAAATCACAGTCACTGCTGTTGGAGTTGAAGTGGATGTTTGTTAGTTTGTCCCTGACTGTCCCACCCTCCTGTGGTAGACAGAAAGGGGCACCAGGGACAGAACAGAGTGACACCGTGGCCATAGACCTGGCCCCTCCTGCTTCTTCATCATGGCGCCCTGATCCTTGCGCTCCCTACCCCCTTCCCATAGGTCTTATCTACATCCTCCTCAAGCACATGGTGGATCGACACAACCTCTACTTTGCCTATCTCCCTACCAAACTGGAAAAGAAGATCCATTTTGCTGCTGTGAACCAGGCTCTGGCTGCCCCCATCCTCTGCCTTTTCTGGCTGTACTTTTTCTCCTTCGTGAGGTTAGGTGAGTAGCCTTGCCAGCCTGGGCTCTGAGCACGCCTGTGCAGGAGTGAGGCTGATGTGGCACTGATACCCATACAGGTCTATCCCAACTGAAGTCAATCCAGCCCCTGCAGTCCATGAGGTGGCGGAATTGTGGCTCTGGGTGGGAAGAGCATCCCCAAAGACAAAGCAAGACAAATCAGGAGTCAAAGGACCTGGGACCAATGCCAGTTCTGTTGCTTGCCGTCTTGGTGATGTTGGGCTAGTCACTTCCCCTCAGTAGAACTCATTTCCTCATCTCTAAAATGGAGGGAATTTGACTAAGGTCCCTTCCAGCTCTGATTCTATGATAGTATGAAAAGACAAGTGGATTCAAGGCTTGTCCCTAAGCCTTTCTTTGGGAAGCCTATATAGCCTTAGTATCTAGGATTTGGACACTGCGTTGTCTATGTGAACCAGCCAAGCAACTCTCTTGCTGGTTTTAAGGCATCTAGTTGATGGTTTAGAAAACAGCTTAACTTAAGGATGGTCCTTATCTGTATTTGGATGAGGTCTTCAACAAAGTCAGCTTCCAAGCCATTTGGTACATAGAAGCATTCCATGGCGTCAAGGGCCCAGCTTGTTGGCCTATGTCTCCACTGGACAAAAGGGTGTGTGTGCATGTGTGTGTGCCTGTGCTAAATACTAAGGAGACATGTGTGTTTGTATGTACGTGCATGTGTATGTATATAGACACATATACACGTATGTATATACAAACGTGTGTATGTGTGTACACACACACACATATATTCACCCTTGTCAGCTGTCTGAACTGATAAGGGATTAGAGCCTACTAAGGGTTGAAAAAGTGGGCAGATCTGCTTCTCAATCAGCAATCATTTATTGATCAGGTATTATACTAAGCACTAAGGATTCAGGGACAAAAGCGAAACAATCCTTACCCTCAGTGAGCTTACATTCTTTTGGAAGAGATGATGTAAAATAAAAGATCATAGGATCGTAGATTTAGAGGTAGAAGGCACCTTAGAGGACATCCTGCCCAACGTCCTTACTTTACAGATGAAGAAACTGAGGCCCAGAGAGGTTAGGTGATTTACCCAAGGTCACACAGGTTGTAGGTGAGATTCAAACCAAAGACCTCTGACTCCAAATCCACAGTTTTTCGCACTGCACCACAGTATCTCCCAATATATAAGTAGGTTCAAAATTGACACAAGGTTTCTTTGGGGCAGAGTGTGTATCAGGAAAGGCTTTCACATAGGTTTCTTTGCAAGGCAAGGGGAGCAGCCCAGGAGCAAGGTCTTAGAGCTCACACATTTGGGGGATGTCCTCTGCTTTGGTTTTGTTGGGAGCATCCTGCCATTGGGAGAAGGGCTTCCTTTCTCAAGGTTGGGGAGTGCGGGGTCTCCTCCCTCCTGCCCCAGTTGGGTCAGGCCCATTCTCCAGGGCTGGGGTTTGTTTCTGATCCTCAGGTTTCCAGGCACCCACAAGCCTATTCACCCTGCTGGCAGTGCTGCTCACCATTGCCGTCTGCATAGGTTACACCTGCTTCGGCTGCTTCAAGCACCTCAGCCCCCTCAATTACAAGGTAAGAAAACTCCATCATAGTACAAGGAAGAGCAATGGAGACATGCTTAATGTCCACTATTTTTCTGCACACTCTTTTTTACCTAAAGCAGAGTAGGTAGGGAGGGATGACTTAGGTAGGGAAGAAGGGCAGTTCCCACCAAACCTTTCATTTTGCAGATGAGGAAACCGAGGCCAGGGGGACAGGGGTGGGGTGGGGTGGGTAAAGGTCACACAGCTTGGAGACGCACATGTACACAGAAGCCACAGCTGGGATTTGAATGCAGATCCTTTAAGGCTAGTGTTCTTCACGCCACCTTCTCCTGGTCCCCCATTCTTCATCACCCCTCCCCCAGTCTTCTGTCTGTACTTCAGACGAGAGTCTGGTGCCGTCTGGTGCCAGCTGGTGCCGTTATTCTGGGTGTTAATAGGCTGTCTGTTTGGAGGGTGTCAGTTCGGGATGATTGGTTTTGTTTATCGTTGCAATTTTTGTTGTCGTCTATAGACGGATGAATCGGCAAACGACAAAGGAAATGGAACAGACGGAAGCCTCCCTCCCAGAGCTGTCGTAAGTCACCCCTTTTACTAGTAGTAATAGTAAGAGTTGTCGTAGGATGGGTCATTCGCGTCATTGCTCAGATTAATGTGGTCCTGACACATCAGAAGATTCCGGGCCTTGGCTGAGTGCATAAGAATCAATCGTTATGGAGCAGACGCTTCCTGATTCTCTGATGAAACACATTTCTAAGTTAATGCTCATCAGCAGTCCCCATTTCTTTGTAGCCCAGAGAAGATAATGCGTCTTCCTGGGACAGTCCAAAGTGGTCATGTTGGTTTTTTTTCCCCTCCTCTCCCAGGCCTCTGTGCTCATTTATCTTTTTTGCAGAGTTAAGACACATAACCCTCTGGCTTGGGGGAGGAGAATCCCAGAGCTCTATAATTTTGTTCTCCTTAACTAGGATTTACTGAGTCTTTACTATGTGTGGAGCCCTGCGCTTCCTACGTTAGGGTTAGCTTTAGAGCTGGAGGGCACGGTAGGAGTCATCTGGTCCAAATCCCTCATTTTAGAGCTAAAGCAACAAGCTCAGTGACTTGCCCCAGGGATAGCTAGGTGGCTCAGTGGATAGAGTGGATTGGGCCGGGGATCAGGAAGACCTGATTTCAAATCTGGCCTCAAACTAGCTGTGTCACCCTGGGCAAGTCACTTAACCTCTTTTTGCCTTCATCCGCTGGAGAAGGAAATGCAAACTACTCAATATCTTTGTCAAGAAACCCCATGGACAGATGGTCCATGGGGTCGTGAAGAATTGGACACAACTGAACAACGACGACTTGCCCCAGGTCACCCAGGTAGCAGATAATTCCAACCATGGGTAGGATTCATTGGAGCAATGACTTCAAAGCTATTCTGCTCTCAAAGACACACCTGTCAGAGAGGGCGGAAAGGGAAGGGAAGGGAGACAAACTGTGAATCTCAATTCCTTGTTCCTCAGGCCAGGAGCCAGAGCCCCCTAGAAAGGACTATACTTGAGGTCAGTGTTGTGTTGGAATGGGAAGAGCTAGGGGCAGAGCTTTTCAAATTGCTCACAGGTCTGGTTTAAACCTTTGCACAGTTGGAAGTGTTCTCAACTTGGCGCTGGGAGTAAATAGGCAGTGAAGTGATGCATGGATTGGGGGGCTGTACCTGGAATCAGGAAGCCCTGAGTTCAAATCTGGCCTCAGATACTTATTAGCTGTGCGACCCTGGGCAAGTCACTTAACCTCTGTTTGCTGCAGGTTCCTCAACTGTAACATAAGATGAATATAACCGCATCTACTTGGCAGGATCAAATGAGATAATTAATGTTTGTAAAGTGGCCAGTACAGTCCCTGGCACACAGTAGGTGCTTATTTACCTCCCTTCCAAATTGGAGTAGGGGTTTGGATTGGGATGGGCTGCTGAGGTCTTGGACAGGTATAGAGATCTAGCCATGGAACCAAAGTGCCAACTCCTCTTTTCACCAGCAGATGTATGTGCCCAGGGTCCTGAGCAGCTTGGCCTCGGAGAGGACTTCCCTGTCCCCGCATGATCAGCAGACATACGGCGCCGTCCAGAACATCAGTGGGGCCCTCCCCGGACAGCGCTCTCCACGGCCTTCAGACTTCACTCCTTCCTTGGATGACTGAGATGAGCACGAATGGGGTGGAGCCCTCCATCTGGCTCTGGGGAGAAGGAGAAGCTGGGCACACGCAGCTTGGTTTCCAAGCACCTCAGCTTTCTCCTGTAATTTTGACTCATATTAAGCTCCATTTTCCTAGGACAGGAAAGCCAAATGGCTCACAAAGTAGAGGGTCTGCCTGGGAGGGTGGTTAAGGCTCTTGGCCCAAACTGCTCGGTGGATATCCACTAGATGGCCAGTAGGAGGGGCAACCCCAGCTTTTTGGATTCCCGATAGCCCCTTTTGAGAGGTTTTCCTCTCTAGCTCTGTTCCCTGGCAATGCTACCCCCACGATGCCAGCATCTATAGCTCGCTGTCTGCAATGAAGTACTTTAATTAAAGGTTCATGTTTAGCATTGTGGCCCTGGACAAACAATCCAGGGCACTGAGAATAAGAGACTGGGGCCAGGGCAGCCTGGAGCAGGGTTTTCTTCCTCCTGAGCCCTTGCACTAACATGTATATCCAAACACACACATGTACACCAAATACACATAATTTGTAAGCAAAGAGCCTTCGGGGCAGAGGGTGCTGGGTAAGTTTCCAGGTGGGAGGAAGGGGACTGCTCTTGGTCCAGTCTTCCCTCTGTACCATTGAATTCTACCTGTCAGGGAGTCCCAGTTTATTTGGTGCTGGGCCCAGTCTGCCAAAGACCTTCCCAGCCGCTGTCCCGGGGCCAGTGGTGATGAAGGGGAAGGTGGTTTCAAGCCCATTTCTTCTTGGGCAGAATGCCAACTCCACCCACAGCGCCGCTGCTCCCTGCCTACAATGCCTTATTGCTTGTGTTGGTTCTTGGGCTTTCCTGCTGTTGCCTCGTGATGTCAGTGACACTGCGAGCCAGGTCACTAGGGCTTGTGTCATACGGTGCAAAGATGAAGATGATGGTCCCTTAATAAAGAGTGGAACAGAGAGGGCACAGTTGGCCAGGCCAGGCCAGGTTCTCTCTCTGACTTGACTCTCCGCCTGCCCTATGACTGTTTGGAGTGTAAGACCTGTTCCCCCACAACATACACCCCTACCCTACCTTTGGCAGCTAGCTGTCCCGGTCCCTTTCATCCTTCTGCCTCTCCATCCCACCTCCCCAGGCAGCCAGCTGTTTGACTCAATATTACTGGAATGAGCGCCTACTCTGCAGTGAGATGACTTCAGCTTGAACCCAGCCATTAATTCAGCCATGTCATTGTTAACTACCTGTGTGACCTTGAGCAAATCACTCTCTAGTCCTCATTTTCCATAGCCCTAAAAAGGGCTTTGGGGACAAGATAACCTCTAGGGCCCCTTCCAGTTCTAAATCTCTATACTACACGGCTGTGTGGGTGAATGAAGGGCATCTTGCATCTTTTCCCACCCCTGGTCTCTCTGACAGCTTGCATCAGGGGCCTTCCCTGTTCTCCAAATGAATCCTGCCCCTAGCTACTATATGAGTCCATTCAGTGTTGTAATGTTAGGCCTTGGTTCCAGGCTCACCTTTGGCCTTTGTCATCTGACCTTGCTCCAAGGACTATTAAGCCCTGGGCTGTCTCTGCTACCTGGCCAGACCTGTGCTAAGATCTTCCTGGGCTTTTGTGGCTAATTAAGGGAGGAATCCATCAACCAATCTACATTTGTTAAGAGCCTATTGTGTGCTAGATGCTGGGGATGCAAAGTCCAAAATGAAACAATTGTTTTTAATATCCTGCTCCTAGTGTGGGTTTCATGGTGCAAGAGCCCTCATCTGAGTATTCCAGCCATGACTTGGGGCTACTTTCCCCCACTTTTGAGCAAAAGCATATTAAAGACAGGCAGTCGGCTGCTTTTCCGCTTTCCCTTCTGAAGTATGGCCCTGGCCCCACTTTGGGAAACCAGGTGGACAGCATTGCTGTCTTGGAAGACCCAGGGAGAAGAGATAGTCACTGGTTTTCCAGCCCTGGGCCTTTCCCACTCTAGGAGCACTGGTCAGGCAAGGGCTACTACCACCAATATCCTGTGATGGTCTCCTCCCCTGTGTGAAGGGTTGGCCAAAGAAGGGAAAGAAGATGTGTTGAGCTGTCAGATACAGCATCATCTAGACCCACCAGGAGCAGGGAAGGCGGGATGGTGATTATGCAAAGAGCATGGGAGTAGGCAGGAGACCTGGTTTTGAATTCTGGCTCTGACTTTCCCTAGATGTGTGACCTTAGGCAAGTCACTTGGCTTAGTTCTGGGCCGCAGTCCCCTCACCTATAAAAGGAAAGGTTAGACTCAATGGCCTCCAACAACTCTTATAGCTCTAAATCTATGACTTATGATCCTGTCAAGGCTGAACTTGCTCTAACAGGTTCCTCCAGGAGAGAGGAGTTGCCACTCGGGCAAGGAAGCATTCTTCTCACTGCCCTGCAGGTGGTGTCGGTGGAATATGTAGAGTTGGAAAGGACGCGGTCTCCAAACTGGACTGGGACCACGCACCCCTATTAGTAAAAGATTTTTGAGCATGTGCCCACATTATTTATAGTTATTTATACATCACAAACAAGCACTAATAATTATGTATATTGTGAAATTTACACAAAAACATAAATTAAAAAGAGGTGACAAAGATGGAAATAATATTTGGTCCAAGAGGCAATGGGGAGTCACTGGAGTAAGTGCCACAGTCAAAGCTCGTTTTAGGAAAGTCATATTGGCAGGTGTGTGGGGACGGATTTGAAAGTGGCGAGACTCTTGCCAAAGTCCAGGCAAGAGGTGAAGAAGGCCAGGACTGTAGTGGTAGCAGTATGAGGGGGAAAAAAGAATAGAAGTGAGAGATTTGGTGGAGGCAGAAATGACTCGATTTAGCAACTCACTAGATAGGAGAGGGGAGGGAGAATGAGTACCTACAAAGACTTGGGGGGCAGAAGGATAATGGTGCCCTCAACAGTGATAGGGAGGTTTGGAAGATGGTGGATCTGGGGAGAAAAATCACGTAATGAGCTTTATGATATGGATCATAACCCAAGTTCCTCTGTTTTCCCTAAAAGCAAAAAGGAAGGCAGTCTTTATAGTTTCCTGCCCTAGAGGGGAGAATCTGCCCTTCAAGGGGGTGCCTGCCATAGGCACTAGTTCATCTGGGAGGGCCAGGGGTGGGCCTACTGTGAATTTTTCCAGTGGCATTGATGCAGCTGCTGCTAGGGGTACCTGGATATGAGAGTTAATTATACGTGCCCTGAGGGACTGACATCCAGCTCAGAAGGGGTGAGGCTGGTATTCAAACTCGGGCTTTCTCTATTACACACACATGCAGAACACACGCACACAGCCAGCCAAGTCAGCATCCCAGCAGGCCTGCCTCCCTACATTAGGGGACAAGGAGCTGACTCCTGGTGACCAGGGTCGAGAGCCTCTGCTAGCCTGGCAGCAGAAAGGCAGATTTCTTTTGGCTCCCAGAGATCAAAATCATCTTTGAACTATGAACCTTTTTTTTTCCCTTTGCTAGGCAATGGGGTTAAGTGACTCGCCCAGGGTCATGCTACCTTTCTTTCTCTTTGCCTCAGCCAGGGTGAGCACCTCGGGGATAAGCAAAAGGAAGACCCGCAAGACTCTGGGGCAGAAAATTCGGTCTGCCCTCATGCCTCATTCACACCGTTTTCCTCCGCCCCTCTCCCCTTCTCTCCTTTCCTCCCTCTTGGCAGCCCAGAGGCTGTGGCAGATGGGAGTCTATGGCCAGACGCCTTCTCCCCTCCACCCTTTGGCTCCCCTTCCTTTCCTTCCTGATGAGGGAGAATGGGGTGAACCTGAGGGCAGTAACCTGGCCCCACCCTTCAGCAGCAGGCCCCACAGCTGCTATCAACAGCTCTGTAAATCAAGCCCTCCTGCGGGGCCAACATTAGCCCCCAGAGGTTGGGTACATCCACTCAGGTTGCTCACCTCCAGTCTGTTGGAGGCAGGCAAAGAACATAATCTAGCTGATCTGAGAGTCCCCAAGATCCCTCCCACTTTTATGATCCTAGTGAGAAAACAGAGGCCCAGGTTAAATGACTGGTAATAACACAGGTAATAACAGAACCTGCCGTCCTCTCAGCTCCCCCCACCAGCTGAGGACTATGGGGCTCACTCAGACCAGTGGTTTTGGGGAATGAGTCAACTAACTGGGTGACTGGGGAAGGTGGGAATGGGGTAGCATTTTATGGGACCATTGAGGGCAAGAGGTTGGGATTCGGCTTCTCAGTTTGAAATGAAGGCAAGCAAGAAGAGACCCAGAGCTGAGCACTGGAGCCTCTGAGCCCTGTCTCTCCTGGTGGTGTCTCCTCCTATGGAGAGGAGGTGACTAGATGAGATCTAGAACTAGATCCTGTGAATCAGAGTGTTTGGTAGGGTCCTAGGGAAGCCACATCCTGCTTCAGGACTGGAATGAGTTCTCCAGGATGGTCAGCCCCTGTCATACACACCCCATCCTCCTCTCCCCACCCCCAATTCTCCCTATGTCCAAGACTCAACAGCTCTTATGAAGCAAAAAAATTTATTATCAAAAGCCGTTTTCCTTTCCACAGGCCCACCCAGCCCAAATCTACCACCTCAGGACCCAAGAAAAGCTTTGAGACTTGTAGGGAGCGTGGAATTTGTGTATCGGGCTCCACCCAGCACACAGAGAGAGGGTAGAGACTCTGATTTATTCATGGTGGGATGTCCAGGATGAGCAAACTCCCTCTACCAATGTAGAGCTGCACCATCTGCAGCCTACTGAGGGAAGGCAAGCAAAATCACTCATTTGGCAGCCCTGTCCCATGACAAGCTATATAAGAAAACAAGCAACTGATAAAAGCTCCAATAACAAGTGGTAAGGGAACCAGTACCACACCTCCAAATGAAGAAAGAGCCAACCACCCTAGAAACCAATTCTGGTAGCTGGAACACACAGGAAAGTTTAACAGGATCTGGCATATGCCACAAGGACAAGATTCAATTTCCCCAGCCTAGAGCACAACCTTGGGATTCATGGCAGGAAGAGCCGGCATACTCCCCTCCCACCATCATCTCTAATAAGCTGGTTGTAGATTTACATCAGAGCCATGGTTTGGGGCAGGGGATATTGAAGGGGAGCCTGGGGCATCTGGGAGATGATGAGGGGTGGGGACACAGGTGGGTAGACTGGAACCAGTTGGGGAGGGGAAGGAAGTATTTCACTCTGAAACTCACTCCCCCTTTATTGAGCCTATGAACTTCTGGATGTCTTCTGCAAGCAGCAGAGGTTCCTCAAAGGCAGCAAAGTGGCCCCCTCGGGACATATGAGTGTAGGAGCAGAGATAGGGGTATTTTTTCCGAGCCCAAGATTCTGGGCAGTGCAGCAGCTCATAGGGAAAGGCAGACAGACCAGCAGGCACAAATACCTTCATCCTACAAAACAGGAGATCTCAGTTGACAGGGGTAGGTCACATAACTTTACCCCCATTCCTGTCCCCCAAGGAGGGTCTCAATCATTTTTCATAGGGAAACATCTCATTAACTCCTGGGGCTCACTGGGGTCAGTCAAGGGATACAAGATTTCAAATGGAAGGATTTTAGCCACCTTTCCCTTGCACCAACCATGTAAGTGTTCTCTCCAGTCCATTTGTAAGTATGATACAAGAAGGACAGGGCTGGGCAGGCAAAGAGAGAATGGCGAGGATGAGGATTAGGATTAGGATTAGGATGATAGAGAGATTCAGTCTCAAATCCTTCAAGAAGGAAAAAGCATCCCCGCCTATCCAACAGAATTCTCCATATGCCCTAAGACTCACTTTGAATGCTTGTGTACACCTATGCCTTGGCCCAGATTCTCTTTGTAGAATCGCTGTGAGGAGGTGATGCAGCCCGTCACCCAGTAAATCATGATATTGGTCAGCAGATCATCCAACGTAAATTTCCTGTACAAATCAAAGACAAAGTCCCAGATAGGATCAGGCATTACGGAGGCATCAGGATTCAGAGTCTCTTTCAGGGACTGGAGTATCATGTACAGGGCAGAGAGTATAAGTAAACATAAGTAA